CGCAAAACTAGCACATTTGAACGCACTGCATACCGACCGGAAATCTTACGAAGAACCGTCACCGCAAATGGGATCCCTCCCACCCCCACCAACGAACCTCGCCCACCAGCGCTATCTCAAACAGATGCAGCGGCAGTACACCGAGAATATGAGCAAACCTGATATTATGCGAGACTCGGACGAACCTCTGGACCTCGGGAAGGAACGGCAACGGAACGATAGCATAAGCGAGACGGACACTGATAAACATGATCTAACGGACAAGGACAACGGCAAAGATTACTATAAAGATTATAATGAGGACGACCGGAGAGGGAACTCGGAGGATCCCGAGAACAACGGTCAGGACGATGGAGACTACTCAGATGAAGAACACAACAAAAACTCATGAAATGAAGGCTAGTTAACTATAAGTGTGTTGAATTAGTCACGTAGACTACGTGTAACACAGATAGGACAATGTTTTGTTGAAATTATCAAAAGGTGCTTGAGTGTTATGTTTTGTGGTCATTAGCTTGATTCGTTTTTTGTAGTAACGGTTTTTATTGTTGACCCGTGGAATGTCATTGGTGCCATTTCCGATATTAATGTAAATTTAAAGTTTTAGGATTAAATCGGTTGCAGCTAGGTTGAGTCTGGTTACTTTGCATAGAAGTCACGAATCTGTACTGCTGGTGTTATGAATGAATATTTGATAGAAGTAGCACGTTGCGCAACCATGCGCTAACATGCGCTAACATGCGCTATAATGCGCTACCGTGCGCTTTGTATAACCTGTTAGTGAGACATTATTTTTATACCCGATGTGATAACACAGCCATAAATATTCACTTAGCATTTACCTGACACATTAGTTCAGATCAACTCGCCACATGATGTGAGATTGTTTTAGTAGTTAATGACTAGTGAGTAGTGTTTTTGTATTGTGTATGTAAAGGACCCGGTCACGTAGTAGGGCCTCTTACATAGTAATTCCATCCATCTACCTCAGCATTTGGGCCAATACGGCAAACGTTATAAAGTAAAAAAAAATATCCACACAAATTGTGAAATTCCATCCATCTACCTCACTTCAATAGATTTTATTTAATATTTTATACAATTTATAGATATAAATAAATATTGTTTTATGCATTTTGCAGATTGCATTTATATATATACTATATAGAGTATATCGTAGGTAAATATATGCAAGTCATTAGGTCATTGTTAGTGCTGCCCGTAGGTACTTGTACTTAATACCGTTATTTTATAGAATACGCACTCACTAGAGGAACTTTAGACTGTGTCACGACCGTAGCGAGTAATGGACATAAACCTCTGATATCAATGAGCACACTAACTTTATACGATGAGAATTGTATACGAACAAATATAACAGAGCTTAAATCATACTATAATTAAAGTAAATATACATATATGTGCGTATACTGAATCGCGGACGGCCAAGTTATGACGCGGTAAGAACACGATGTATAACGATTTACACAATTAAGATTTCACATTGGAACAGCGTGGCCAACTACTGCTGGCCAGTGTAACAAGTGTTGCACACTTGTACGGCCGACGACGTCTACCTTGAGACTGAGTACCATCCACGGGATGATCTGTTATCGCGTTATCACACTGCGTGCGATTCGTCAAAATGTTCAAATTTGACACTTAACAATATAATATAATGATAAGGGGATAAATAATGCATGTATATAAATTGAGGTGATATGTAAAGTACATATACTTAAATAAATAGTAACAAAAAGCAATAAATAAAGTATACCTTGACGTTGCCTTCGAATTTGTGTAAATACGTGGGTAGTGAACGGTTTGCGTTGGTATTGTGGAAATAAGAGAACCTTATCGTGTACAAGTGAAGGTTTGTTTTGTAGTAATGATGTGGGCTCGTTACTTATTATAACAATTACTGTGATTACAATCTCATGTTAGCCTTCAATACTTATACATATTTTTTAGAGTACAATGTTATAGTTATTTAGTATATTATAAGGTATCATAAGCGAAGTCACAAAATTATATTTACTTCCCGCCCCTGACGTTAGGATTCACGTTATTTAAGTACTTAGATCAATAGGTAAAAGCATTTAACCTTTTATATGAGAGATGTTACATTTATGGAATGATGAGATATCTCAGTTTGCCACCGGGGCTTGCAAAGCTGTCTCGAGCGTGCGGCCGTGGGCACCGCAAGTAGATACATAGCTATATGACTAGAATAAGTTGTACGGGTTGATTGAAACATATTTTTGTTTAGTGTGTTAGTGAGAATTGATCATTAAGTCAGTTTGGTTTGCGCAAATATAACCTTGTTGACATTTAACAGTGTTGCCATAGTGAGTAATAATTTTCGACTGTATATAAATTAAGTTTTGTTTGTTTAGGAAATGAGTGCTTAATATTTGATTACTATGAATAGATGCAAGTATCGTTTTATTTAGATTACTCTGTCTACATTCTACTCAATTATAGTTCTTTTAGATGAATAGAGTTGATGCACGTATTTAACATTTAACAATAGTCAGTTACCAGATTGTGATTAAGGAAAGTATATATTTTTTCAACACACGCCACTTAAAATACAGATTATAAATAAAGGGGGGCTTACGTCGTTACTTTGAGATGTCACACATTGATATAACAGACTAGATGTTAAGTCCAATGCTTTGTGCTCGCCGCAGTGGCGACGTAAGCCCCCTCCGCACTGTACAGTTGTTGATAATGCAGAATATTATATACCAGTGAGGGATAATGAATATATAGGACTATAAGTCAACGATATGCTCTCGATATATAATACTTACGTTTAGTTACCTTGTGAACTGCAAGTTCGACATTAGTTTTTCTTTCTTTATGTTTGGTTATACTAATATACCTCAGTAGCATGAGCTATCATGTAAAACTTTTTATTAGTTAAACGCACAGTTTAATGTTGATTTATGTATCTGTTCGGGTATTGCGCAATTTACGATAACCGTAGGAAATAATAAAGCCAGATTACAGAGTACAAAATAATGAATTGATGTAGTACAGAAATATAAATATTCTTGCAAAATGTTATTTCTATGTTAATAGATGTGTATGTTGTCGTGAATTGTCGCGAGCGGCTCGAACGGTGTTAGCTGTCGAGTAGGGAGCACAAGATATTAAGTTTGTTCGCCACGTGACCACGTGACCACGTGACCACGTCACCGCAGGACGTGACAGTACCAAGTAGTTCGTCTTTATATCCCTTCTATATTATAAAGTCGTTGGAATCAATAAATGCATACAAATATTAATAGATAATTCTAATTCAATTTAATTAAAATCTGACTAAATTATTTGATTAATTAAGTAGATATTGATTATTTATATGATTCATTCATTTTATTTCAATATATATTAAATGTTTATTTCGTTATATTTTCAATACAATATGCTGTTGATTTTTTAAACTTCTGTCTGTGCCTTTTGTTGGCACAGGTCTCCCCTAACTACAAACATTTCTTTCTATCACTGGCTATGGGTTTTAAATCAGTAACAATTCCCACGTGAATTTATTGATTCCACTCGACCACAATTCTGCCAACATTTAGTTGAGATGATCTCGCAACATCCCTATAATCTGTTCTCTTTCGTTCCGTGTTTCATTTCATGGTGGCGCCACTGTATACGACCGCTGCAATAAGCAAGCCACCATCCCTTAATTTTCAACTCTATTACTGTACTAATTAGGTGTATTTTTCAAAATCATTGAACTTACATATGGTTAAGTATTTATGCAATAATTAATTAAGGTACTATGGGGATGATGGGTACAAGCCGCCATATTGTATCGTGACGTCACTCCTATGTAATCGCCATGTGAAATGGATATGTCAGTATTGTTATGGTTTTTAGAGATATACCTAATTAAGGCAGGAGATATAATTTTACGTATATTTTTATAGTTGGAACCACGCCTGAGCCATTGTACATTAGAGTACTAGCTGTACGCTGCTTCATTACATTACTATATACAAGAATAATAAAAATAATTGTTTTGAACACGTTGTTTCATTATATTTTTTTAAAACCACCTTCCTTATTAGAACCTAGGGTCGGTGTTTTCTTTTTTAAGAATTTCAAGAACATATAGAAACTTTAACCGCTTGAATGCCCGTATATAAGACACAATACAAAATACATTGTGTTTCGCGTGGATCCACGTTTAGACACACGACGGGTTAATAAACTCGACCTCATCGTTCGCTTGATAAAATTGACGTGTAAAAGTGCTGCCTTGTAGCCTATTTGAAGTTTTTTTTAATACGTAGCTTAGGATAAGTTTAGGATTTTCTCCTGTGTCGTGGGTGCGTTTACAAACATATAAGTTCACATACACATAATGACACCCAGACCCGGGCCAACAATTTGTGGATCACACAAAGAGTTGCTCCGTGCGGGAATCGAACCACCCGCGACACGTTGCACGGCAGCCAGTTGCCCAGCCACCGCGCTAACCGTGCTGTAAATTCACTTGTTTCACTTGTTTCACAATACCCTGATACTGAAAGGTTACTCAATTTTTACTTGTATTTAAATATCGTGCCATCTCTGTCAAGTTTCAAAGGATTTTTAGAGACAGAACTATATACTTAAAATTGAGTGGCGCGACTTGATTTGAGTGACGTTTGAGTGTTTGGACATAAAGAGTTATATTGTAGCTCCATTCAATTGAAAATTTATTTAAACTAAGATGATAAAAAAATAGATTTTTTGAACTCTCGTACTATCAAGTAATATATTTCTTAGAAAGGGTTCTGTAACATCACTACATAGTATAAAACAAAGTCGCTATCCGCCGTCTGTCTCTCCCTATGTATGCTTAGATCTTTAAAACTACGCAACGGATTTTAATGCAATTTTTTTCAATAGATAGAATGATTCTTAAGGAAGGTTTATATGTATAATACATGCATATTGCCCCCGTGCGAAGCCGGGGCGGGTCGGTAGTAATACAAGAATTTGTAACTAAAACAGAAAAGTGTATTTATTTAATGGAATCGCATTGACAAACGTTTACTCCTTCAGTATTATTACCACTCTTACATATAAAATCATTCCTAAATCTAGACAAATAAATACAGTACATATTTATTTTTATATCATTACATAGTAGGTACATACATTTTACACTAACTACTATCTATGTTACTCTTAAAAAAATCTATGCTACAAACGCCCGAATACTGAAAAGCTACTCCACTTTAAATGTACTTAAATATCATGCTGTCTTTGTCATTTTACAAAGGATTTGAAGAGACAGAACTATATTTAAGCGCGACTTATATTGAGTAGCGTTTAGTATTCCAGGGTTAATCAAAAAACCACACAAAATTCTTTTTTTAAATCTAAAAGCGTTTGACATTTTTAATTTTTGGAACGAAACATCATGGATGAATATTTGTACATAGATAATATAATAAATAAAGAGTAAAACTAAGCCTTGTGAGTTTTGTTAAGAATGTCATTAAACCTCGTTCGCCTAATCCTCTTTGAGTTGCTTCTTCTTAAAGAGGTAATGAGCGCCTAACAGAGCGTTCATTCTGTAACAATAGATTAGTCTATCATTTTATTGCATAAAAGTATACTCAACTGTCGTGGAGATGAGATTGTAATTATTCCTTTAATTTTGTATCAAATTTATAATCTATTTATTAATTCATAATTATTTATTTACAATTAATTGTGCCCGGTATATGGCAATAGGCTCACCCCCTATTACATGGGACTCATAACAAAAAACAGTGAAAAGTGGATGTTACATTGTACAGTGGCATATAAGTGCCGTATAGAGTACCCCTTCGGAGATAAAAGGCGTGATATATTGTGTTTATAACCTATATATAGCAATTTCTTTAAATAGTGAAGTTTTGAAAGTCGAGTACAATAACATAAGGTGGATCTTTCAGTCAGGCAAACTACATAGATTTTAATGGTTTTTTTATTTATATTTTTAACTAGCTTTTACCCGCGGCTTCGGTCGCGTCACAATGGGATAAAAAGTAGCCTATGTGACATATACCAATACATATAGCGCCATCTATACCAATACTTTTGTTTTCCCTCGTGAATACCAAATTTTTCCGGGATAAAAAGTACCCTATTATTTAATCCGGACTTCTAACTTTACGTCTGCAAAAATTCAAAGCAATCGGTTTAGTAGTTACGGCGTGAAAGCGGAACAAACAAACAAACTCACTTTCCGATTTATAATATTAGTAAGATGTAAAATAGATTCGTAACGACATAGCTAACAATGAGACTGTAGGTCGATCTAAATAGATCTATATATTTTCTGTTTACGACGATTTTATAATAATTTATTCAGTTTCTTAATTCCGTACTACTAACATGTAAAATATTTACAGAACTGTTTTATAACGAGAACACATCAAGGTAACTACAATCGATTTTTACTAAAGCTTCATGTAGTATTTAATTTATTAGTTAAACTTATTCCCTTAAGCCGTACGAGGCCCGTGGCGATAAGAACCGCGCGTATTGTTAGATCGCGTGCTAACTGCTCATAAAACTTAAATAGAAACTGAGCGACTTACAGCCCGAGTGTACGTTTTAAATGTTTCAATGTTTCAATATAACTTCATTTTTATTGTAAAATTGTATTTAAAATAATTATTTTCGAATGAGAAATGAAAGTCAAACGCTTAAAGGTCAAATGAAATGTAAAATACGTAGGTGTAACTTTCAGTCTGATTATAGCAAAACAAGGTTTACAACTTTTACTTGTTCTACATTCGTGATTTATCAATTTATCAATATTTGTTTTAAATAAAGTAGACCAAGAAACCAATAAATAAAATAACATAACATCACGATTTTTTATCCCCGAAGGGGTAGGCTGAGGTACCCTTTACAGCACATAATGCCACTGTACAATGCTCAATGCTCAACACCCACTTTTCACTATTTATGTTATGAGTCCCATGTAATAGGAGGTGAGCCTATTGCCATATGCACTATTTACATAAACATAAAATACCTACTATATTATGTAGTAATTAAATCTATTTAACAATCTCATCTCCAAAATCTAAAATGGAATACCATAGTAAATAATACTACATCCTTCGAAAAGTTTCTATATCTATTATATACTCTATGGTATTATTATAATACTCACAGAATGGCCAAATGCTATTTCTTGCTGGCCAGTGCTATGCCGAGGCCGACGATGCCGCCGATGGCCAGCACGGCGCCACTCGCCACCGCGATACCGATCAGACCCTCTTTTTCCATTCGCTTGTTGATTTGACGCTGAAATATTTAAATAAAACTTGAATAAACGGATATTGAGTGTGGGACCATGCTTCGGCGCAAATGGGCCGGCTCGACCGGAATGTTACCACAGCCATGAGGTTTTCTATGAAGAAAACCGACGTGAAGCAACGCTTGCGTTGTGTTTCGTCGTGTGAGTGAGGTTACCCTCCCCTTTCTCAATCTCCCCAATCCCTGAATACCCGACGATCCTCCAACTCCAAATCCCCAAAAGGACGGTAACGCACTTATAACGCCTCTGGTGTTCCAGGTGTCCATGGGCGACGCCGATTGCTTACCATCAGGTGATCCATCTGCTCGATTACCAGCTTTATGCCATAAAAAAAAAAAATATTTTCAGAAATCGAAGCTTTTTCGTCGTATGAGTGAGGTTATTAGAAGTCCCCCTCCATCCTAAAAGGTCGGAAACTCAGTTTTCCCGTGAACTGCACCGATTGCTTGCCAACCATCCGGTGATCCGTCTGCTAGTTTGCCGTCTTTCCCACAAAAATTAGATCATTTTCTTTGAATAAACATCATTATTTGGTACAGTAAAGGAAAATCAAATATTTACAAGCTAACTGAAATGGTCATCAAATACACGAAACGCCAGTAGATAACTTGGTAATAAAATGAGTGGGTTTCCTCTTCAGCCTTATACATAAAAAAAGTTTTATTTTACAATTTTGCAGGTCAGCTAGTTACAGCATTAACATCATCAAAATAGATGTGTCACTGATCATTAAGTTTGAGACAGAGATACAAAAAAATATACAATACAAGAACACAAACACATTTAAAAATTTACAATAACATTTAAAAAAACTATAGGCCTATTGCAAAGATATCTGTATTTTCAAAAATTATTGAGAAGGTAGTTTATAATTCTACCTATATATTCATATTTTGAAAAATTCAATCTTTTCTGCAATGAACAGAAAGGATTTAGAAAAAATACAAATATTAATATGGCCTTGTTCGACTTCATCTCTAACGTAATGGCATCCATAGATAAACGAAATCCTGTTTGTGCTATATTGACTGATATGACAAAAGCGTTTGATTTTGTTAATCATAAAATTCTGCTGCAAAAATTACAGGGGTATGGAGTGAGAGGTAATATTCTGAAACTCATAGAATCATATCTGAGTAACCGATCTCAATGTACAGAAATCACCAGAATATGCCCTGCTACTAAATTAGAGAAAAAATATTTATCTAAACCAAGGTTTACAAGATATGGTGTACCACAAGGCAGCGTCCTGGGGCCACTACTTTTCTTAATTTATATTAATGATCTCCCCAAAACTATAGATCACAAAATGGTGTTGTTTGCAGATGACAGCACTGTTATTGTGGAATGTAATAATTATAATAATTATCAAAATGACATAAATAATTCATTGAATGACATTATAAATTGGCTTGACATTAATAATCTTATAATTAATTTAAATAAAACAAAAGTTGTACATTTCCACCAGCGTCGTAAACACTTACCGTTTAATGTAACTTATAATAACTGTATAGTGGAGGAAGTTACAAGTGCGAAATTCTTAGGCATTACCATAGATAATAAATTAACTTGGAGACCTCACTTAAATGAAATATGCACGCGTCTCAGTAAGTCTGCATATCTTTTATTCCAATTAGCCAAGAAAGTTGATACTAATACACTTCTTACGGCCTATCATGGATTGGTCGCCTCTATTATAAGATACGGTATTATTTTTTGGGGGCATTCAATTGATAGGGAACTTATATTCAGAAGGCAAAAGAGGTGCATTCGGTCTATGTGCGGTCTGAGACAGACGGATAGCTGCATTCCATACTTTAAAAAGTTTAAAATACTTTCTTTACCATGTATGTACATATTAGAGGTGGCGATATTTGTTAAAACAAATCAACATTTGTTTCAAAAATTCTCAACTGTTAAGAGGACCCCTATTCGTGCACAATACGAAAATTTATTATGTACATATAAATGTAAAACTGCCCTACTAAAAAAGAGTGTCCTTGGTATTGCACCAATTATTTTCAATAAAATACCAGATGCCATTAAATGTTTGCCGATACATAAATTTAAACAATCTCTTCAGATGCTATTACTTGAAAAATGTTACTACAGCGTAGATGAATTTATAAATGATACTTTGCATTGATTGTGAGTTTCAATTTATTTGTTTTTCTTTATAATTATTACTTTTTTTGTAAGTATAATTTAATTTAGCCTGAATGTGGACATATTGTTTATTATCTTGTTATCTATAATATTTATAATAATGACATCTTGTTTATAATTTTGACATATTTTGTTCACCAATTGACATAATTTAAACTGTTTGACTTGTGATTTTTAAATTATTATTTTTATTCATTTACATTATTTTTTTTTTTCATTCAAACTTTGACATTTGATTTTGTATAATTATTGATTGTAGATTGGTATTATCTGCCTAAAGTAATGATTTAGTACGCCATCAATGGCAAAACATGTAGACTCTGTACTAACCAAAAAACACCTTCATTGTAATTACTCATGTTTTACTAAATAAATATATCTTTATCTTTATCTTTATCTTTAAATAACTTTGAATAATAATGTTTATACAACTCGTTGACCACCACATTTAGTATGAATCCTTTTTAATGAACTGACAATAAAACCACAGTGCAATGTGGTTTGCTGATAAATGAAAATAACAAAAGTATATTGTTATTGTCCGTTATAGATTGCTATATATTGCCCACTATAACTTACTATAATAATGTACAGATAGTATATCAAATTAATACAGTAGGCAGACTGATAAAATAAATATAGCAAACTAGTCTTTAAGTATTGCAACATAAGCAAATAAATTGCTTAGCTGTATTAAGGCACCAATAACCAATGCCTGCTTCATACAATATTACCAAATAAATTAGGTATTATATTTTCAGTTTACTCACAAAACTGTTTGACGCGGAACTCGACTAGTTTCAAGCCATGCTAGAGGCTCATATTATTTTATTGAGTAAGCTGACAACTTAATAATTAATTTAGTATGTCTCATGAAAGTTTTAATATGAATATTACTAAATGAAGTCAAATTTTAGGTTTTAAATTACTAATCCAACTTGAGTTAAACAAATAAGTAAGCAAATATGCTTATACCCTTCTATTCTATATAATATTCTACCATTGAGAAGAAGCCTTTGTTAAGCAGTGAGACAATAACAAATGATGATTATACCCAGACACATACAACTGCATCTTTTTAACCGATTTCCCAAAATGGAGAAGATTCTCAAACCATATGTATAAGTTTTTTTACAAATGTGTTTTACGCAATTACTACGGCGTTTTTGGACAGATTTTGATGATTTTTTTAAAAGTTAAGTACATAAAGTATTGTTAGGAAAACACAACATACCTCTAATGCCAACACTTGCTGGTTAGCTGGTTCAATCTCTAGGAAGGACTTGACATAGTGGAGAGCTTTGTTGTACTCCTTGATTCTAGCGTTGCCAATAGCAAGGTAGAACAGGTAATCCCTTTTGCCATCAGGGTGTGAGTTGAACAGTTCTTTTAGGAGCAATATACCCTGGAACATTGATACATGGATCATAGCATAGAATATAAAAACGCTACTGTACACCATATAAAAACACAAAGGACAAACATTTGTTACTACAATTCTAATTACTAAAAAGCGATCTCTCCGATAACCTTTGAATTGATAAGCAGTAAAGAATCTTAATTACAGCTTAAGCAATATTCATGTTAAAAATATTAGACTGAATTTCTATAATCATATAAAATCTTCATTGAACCAATTTGTTTAAAAAGATTTGCAAATTGATTATAAACTTCCATTTTTCTCTAAGTAGTACAATATTTTGACTGGACTTCGATTTTATGCACAATTTAATATAAAGAAATTCCATGATGGAACAAACACAGTACTTAATGTTATTAATGTTGTTATTGAAAAGGTTAAACTGATAACAATAACAATTTATTAAACATTTCAATATTAATAAGAACGCACCAAAGTCTTACATACTTATTTTATTTCAATAAGACCACTACAAATAATAGACTTTAATAATCTTAAAGTGAGGAGGTTCTTGTCTAAATCCTTATAAAATGGAACCAAATTTGATATTTTTTGTTTGTTTGAACGCGGTTATCTCAAGAACTACTAAGAAAAATTATTTTAGTGTTGGATAGTCCATTTATTGAGGAAGGCTATAAGTTATAAAACATCACTCTATGATCGAAATGCGCCGAGCAGTGAAAAACACCACTCGCAACTCTCGCAAGTAGCTGTAACTATAATACAAATCGACTTTGCATTCACTTATCCAAAGAACACGGGGAACAGCTAGTGTTAAATAAAACCATTGCTTGCTTCTTGCACCTACCATTTACTCTTCTCTAAACCACCCTAAGGTCAGACTGGGAGAAAATGCCTGTGGCATTAAGTCTGCCAATTGTACATTGAGTTCATGAAGCATATCAATACATAGAATAAAACAAAATTGGTATCTGCTGTCTATCCTATGTATGCTATGTTGCGAATCTGTTTTTGATACATTTTTTTTTATACGTTTTTTTTTAAATAGATATGTATAGTGATTCTCATGCATAATATAGTAAAGAAACACTGATAAATTTAGAGGTTTCAAATATTGCAAATGCTAGCTGAACCCTATAAAATAGACCAAAATAATGTACTGTTCACATTAATTGTCTAATGACAAAAAATCTGTAAACGTTGTGTATAAGGACATTCTGTAGAATGTATATTTTCTTAAGCATTGCACCCATGCGAAGCCGGGGTGGGTCGCTAGTTAAATAAATAACCAAAATTTATAAATCTAAGTATAAGCTAAGTTATGACTTAAGACACCAACATTGTACCTTTTATATCCAATAGAGTGTAAGTTGAATAGGCAGCCTACTTCAACAAAGCATCATTCAGTACTGTCAAACAGGTATTTTGTTTTTGTTTAGCATGACTTTACATACAAATATAGGCAATGCAGTAATTCAAACAATAGGGTTATTTTTAGATGAAAGAAGACATGATCTTAATGTCCTCGAGACCTCGAATTCTTTAACTTGGCACTCAAAACGCTTTGTGAATATTTTTTATAAAAACTGGACGACATTTCGTTGTATGGTGACTTTCTTTTTACCAAGGCTTTAAATAGGTATTAGTTAATATATTTTATTTCCTTATGCATGTGACGTCAACATATAGTGATCTTTTATTTTTTATTACTTCAGGACAAAAAAACTAAATAGCTCTTCGAATAGGTACCTTTCGTATGTCGGTAGGATACTTGCTCCGCACTAGGCACCAAGCGTACTCAAACTGTGCTTTGTGAGTCACGTTGCCCTGGTGCAGCTGCTCGTGGAACACTTTCTCGAACTTCTGCATCACAAAGATCAAATAATGAGTATTACATTCCATGACTCACAAATACAACGTTGCACAAGTTTTCGCATTACTTGCAAATCTTCCGAAGATACTATCTCGTCCAAAACGTCCTCCATTGTAATGAAGTTATATAAATTGTTATTAGAATCCAATCGTACCACACTTTATATTCTTTACAGACAAAATAATATTATTTCGCGTTATCACTATTGAAAATCGTAAAATCAAAGTTTTGACGAATTTGACGTTACACAGCGTTAGGTGACAAGTGTCAATGTCAACTTCTTACAACTGATCGACATCAACATTTCAACATATTAAATATTGAATTTTATAATTTTACATACTATTTTCACATTAATAATTACACTTTTAAACAAAAATCATCATCATTTTAAAATATACTTGCCGTGAATAGCGTAGCTACATTTTAAGAAGAATGAATGGCGAGTTTGTACTCTACTGTTCTTCAGCAAACGTACACAACTCGCACAGCACTATATAACTCATCTCAAGAACAAAATGTACAAATGTCAATGTCAAATTATCAGTGTCAAACAAATCGAGCACCGTGTTCTACACTTTTGTGGAATTCATTGTCGATTTTATTAGAACGAAACTCTTATAATTCTAATAAGACATTTATTGGAATTCAGTGAGCACTGCGCTAAAATGCAGAGTGTAATAAATACTGTGAAAGGCACAGCGCTGGGAGTAGCCGGTTATCTTACACCGGTGTTGAAGGTAATTTATCACCTTTGTTACATTAACTTTTATCACTGTTTACAGTTAATTTGACACCGTACAAAACAAGTTCGAAATAATTTATATGCGCAATCATTATGTATTCATTGTCGGTAGTCGAAAATACAGGCAATGTAATTTTTTTACACTTCGTCTGTGTTACTATTAGGTATAGTTGACGGTAAATATTATCCTTCAACAAAGCAAGTTGATCGTAATATTTAGCGGTGTTATCTTTGTTAAATGAATCATTATCTCACATTTGTAAACAAACGTAATTTACCTTGTCGTTATAACACAATAGAACTACCTACTTACACCAACTTATAAATAATTTTACCTGCAACTGTCGCTTTCCTAGGAGTCAAAGTTCCAAGAAACAGGAGTCCTAACTCCTGAGGAGTTTGTAGCTGCTGGAGACCACTTAGTCCACCACTGCCCTACCTGGCAATGGGCTAAGGGTGAAGAAGCTAAGCTGAGGCCATACCTACCTGCTGATAAGCAGTTCCTTATTACTAGGAATGTGCCATGTTATAGGCGGTGCAAACAGGTATGCCTTGCAGTACTACTACCTTCATATTGATTATTTTTGTCATTAAAAAAATAAAAATAAAAATGCCTTTATAATAAAAATTGTTCATTCGTAATTATCATAAAAATGAGGGTATTTTAATACCTCTCACTCTGCTAGGTATCCTACAAAAGTTTAAATTTCAAACATATTTTCATAAAATTATACTTTACCATTTTTGTGTAGTAATACTGAATGCAAATCTTGCACATAATAATTCCTACTTGCAGATTGAGTACTGTGAGGACAAAGAAAAGGTGATAGAAGATGAACATGATACGGACGGAGGGTGGGTAGACACACATCACTATGATAACACTGGATCTCCTACCGTTGAGGAAAAGGTAAGTAAAGATAAAGCAACAATTAAATATATGTAAATAAAAATTGCATATACTTAAATCTCAAATGGCAACACTGAATTTGGAAATTTCTTTTTGTTACATCCAGTATTGTAAAGACAAAGTATTTGTGAAATTAAAAATTTATTAATTCAGAAACTCTGTGTTTGACAGTTTAAATAGTCGGGGAACAGCACCCAAGCAAGGGTAAGATAGGTCTCTTGAAACAAATAAAATAAGGATACCTATAGAAAATTACATAATTTTGTAGGCTTGAGAAACTTTTATCCTATTTACACAACTGCATGCCACTCACACTGTAATTAATTTATAAACTTAGTGGTCTAATATCTAAAATTAAAACCCGACTTATTGATTCAATTGCTGTTTTATTTGTTCACTCAATTTGGGTCATAGCTATTAACTATTTTATTACAGCGGTCTGTTGTATGAGTCATTATACCATTATAATCTTTATGGACATGAAAATAAGTATCCTATTATGTTAATTTAAAATAACAATGATATTTTTTATCTAGTAAAAAACGACTAATCTGTGATGATACTAATGAAGGTAGATAAACATTTTATCTCATTATTTTTCTTATATTACATATTAATTATATTACATAATAATATAACATATTAACTCGTCGAGTACCGGTTTTGTAGACACAATTATAGAACAATAGGTTGCGGTCACCGGTGACCGGTGTTTGACAGTTTAATAAAGTAAAATAATTTCAAAATTATTATAATTTTTATTTTTATTTTAAAAGACTTCATGCACACACTAATGTACAAGGTAGGCTTAATGCCTAGGGCTTTCTCCTCCAGCCAGACCTTTGGGTGATGCAGAGACAAAAACAATGGTCGATGCAAAAAGCAAGCGTATTTAAGACTCAACAGAAATACATAGAAAAACGGATAGTATACGAGTAGACTTACATAAAATAAATACAAACAATCTTGCATGTAAAGTTCTATTATATCATAATCAGGTATGTGAGATGACGTTGGAAGCAGCCGACACTGGCGACAGTGACGGTGAGGGTGCCGCTGGTGACCGCGACGACGATGATGACGAAGAGGATGACGAAGATGGAGAGGCCGAGGATATGGAGCAGTTCCAGGAGTCTGGACTCTTGGATGAAGTGGACCCAGTAAGTTTTTATGACTACTTACCTAATTGATTTCTCGATAAATAAATGTGTAAATGTTGTGAGTAAATATTATTTCTTACTTAACTCGTCGAGTACCGGTTTTGTAAGACACAATTATAGAACAATAGGTTGCGGTCACCAGTGACCGCTTGGTGTTTGACAGTTTAATATTGATTTGTTTATACTAAAGAGAATACAGGTTTAAAAGGTCATACTTTTGTATGGTTTATTATTGTACTTTGACTTTAGTGTCTGAACTTAATGCATTATTAAATTAACTAAACAGATATTGTCTCCTCTTTCCTATCTGATTCGATCAGATAGCTAAAAACACAAGTTTGCACCTTTCAACCAGTAATAAGTAGGTATTTGAAGTTAAAAACGAACAGTATGTAGGTAACATGAACTTAAAGTGGTTGATATATATTGACCCTGCTATCTGGCTGTCATGGACACTATCTGTCGAGTGTGCATTACGATTGCTGCACTCACATGTGCCGGTAATTACAATGTAGCTCTACCTTTTATTTGTTTACATCGTACCTATCGCTTTATTTTATACCTATCTACTCAAGATATTCTAACTACTATTTTAACTTATAATCGCTTACCTCCAGGCCAGATAATGGATAAACGTCGGCCCATCAAATACAAAAAAAATTGCGGTAGTTGAACACGAATGACCGTGTTCTCTGCAACCTACCCTAAACCATGTCTTAACTTCAAAGTTAAAAGTTATTTACGTGACGTAGCACCTAAACAAACCCCTTACTTGTACTGTTAGGTACCACTTATAGATTAGTGAAAATGTCGTTAAGTGTCATCTATCTTAGTGATTCCTTTAAATTTAAGGGAGATTGATGAAAATGGGCATTAGTGTTGTAATGTGATCCTAATTTAAACCTAAAGATATATTTCTTTACAGTCACTTTTACTTCATGATGTTTACTATTATGTTTCATACGTATAAAATTATATTATCTCACCAGTCAACAGACCTAGCACCGCGCAAGGAGCCCAAAACAATGCCGGAGAAGAAGCCAAAGTCTGACGGAGACGAGATCGTCCGCACGAGGACCTACGACCTCCACATCACGTACGACAAGTACTACCAGACGCCAAGGCTCTGGCTCATCGGATATGATGAGGTGAGTCCTTGAGCATTACCATCATGATCACTTTTCCATTCGTAGCTGGACATCAACAGTCCGAGAGAGGCCACTGCTGTACTATGAGCCTCCTCACAAAAAAGTCGTTTACCATAATCACCACGCTTGCCAAGCGTATTAGAGATCGCGGCATCAAACCATTTTTTCTTTTTTTGAGGGGCAAAATCGTCCAATGACTTCTCCCGCTTGGGTGAGGTGAGAATGTCAGACTCTTACTGACTAAAAACCGGACTCTTCGAACCGGAGCCCCGGCAACCCGTTCACACCTTAGCGGCTCCGTAGCATCCAACCAATTGCATTTAAACTATACATATACAGATTAAAATTCATGTTTGCTTCTTCTTTTGTTTCTTGGTGTGCGTAACCCAGGCCAAATGTTGTCGAAAGTGGTCTCTTATAAGAATTTATTCTTATAACTTTAAGAATAAGTTCGGCTTCTGTAATTGTTGCACACATTTTTAAATTTGTTGCGCTTATAGTTTTTTAATTATTTCACAAAAACATTTCCTGCTGGGGTAACGTAACCCCAGCTAGAACTTTTTCTTTCTATTGGGAATATTTAAATAATTACTAGATATAAAATTAGTTGTCTAGAATAGTCTAGCTAGATAAAGTAAATGTTGTGACTTATTTTGTATATGTTCTTTCATCGGTTGCGAAGTTATTCGAGATTCTGCTGGGGTAACGTTTTTGGTTTTGCTAGATCTTTGAAATGGTTAAGCTGATTCTTATCATATTTTGTACATGGCTTCTTAGGAATTCGCTTAAATTTGTTCTGGAATAAAAAAACCGAAGTAATACATAGCTTAAAGGTTATTTCATTAAATAGAAAAACACTTCAATTGGTCCCAGCACATTCAATAAGACATACAACATCTCTACATAACATCTGGCCTGGGTAACGCACACTAATTCTTGATTAAATATCCATACTGAAATAATTCGTATTAGCATTTAATCCACGGTTTAGATTTTTTCTGCGTTTTGAATATACACTGCGATTACATTATTCAACAATTAGGGAACCGCTGTTGTAATACGACCTTGAATTTATGACTTATTTAGCTAGTCTATTAATATGGCGTGCAGTGAACAGATTTTATACACATTGTTGTTCTGAAGACTATATCTACGATATCTTTGATAAGGTAGAATGAAAAAGAAAACGATATACCTACCTCCAAATAACTTGAAATAGCGACAAAGAAAGGATATAGATTCTACTAATTGAATAAGCAGGTTTATCGGTGATACAATCATTTAATGATATATTTTATGTCCAGGACCGCACTCTCCTGAGCGTGGAGCAAATGTACGAGGACGTGTCGCAGGACCACGCCAAGAAGACAGTCACCATGGAGTCCCACCCACACCTGTCTGGACCTAGCATGGCCTCCGTGCACCCGTGCCGGTGAGTTAGTTATTCTATTGAAATATGAACGAAGTTCGTGCAATGAAGTTACTCGACTAGTTTCGGGTCATAATGAAACCCATAATTCAGAATACATCCAAATCCAAAGCTCCTGTGCTGAGTTCTTATAACGAATCAAATGAAATCATGTAGTTTAACACAATTTAAAACTTCAGACCCTTATAATAAAAGCCATATTAATACCCTTATTAATACCCAAACTCCTCAATTCCAGGCACGCAGAAGTAATGAAGAAAATAATAGAGACTGTCACAGAGAGTGGAGGTGAGATGGGAGTGCACTCGTACCTGATAGTGTTCCTCAAGTTCGTTCAAACTGTCATACCAACCATCGAGTACGACTTCACACAGAACTTCGCCATCAACTAGATATAGCTTCGTATGTAGTAGCTTTTGTAACGCTCGCGGCGTAGCTTCACTGTGGTTTTTTAATGTTTTCAATCGATAGTGTATGAGAAGTAGTTGATAAGATACAGCGGTGATGATAGTTTCAAGATGTAACCAGTAAGATGGAATAGTGTTGGTTTTCGTCGGTTTACGATTGTTTTCAAGTGATTGGAGCGATATGCGACGATTTAAAGCCCTTTTAACGAAATATCGTACCCACTGTTATCACAAATCAGATAAACTTGCAGTCAGAGGCTAAAAAAATCTGAACAGTTATATGTATTACTCATTTATTTTGTGCGCTAAGTTAAACATCTGGGATGTTGTACACAATAAAAAACTGCCTATATCAACTCGTTCACCTCAAGCAATGCAACTTGAACTTTGTGTCAAATATTGCAAAGTCGTATGTCCCATGTTCGTGCGTAATTGTCGTGAACACTGCTTTCGTTGTTTCGCCGCGGTTTGTATAGTTCAGTAGTGTAGGTCATTTTAATAAATATATCAATGTGGTAATTGTAATATCAATATTTATTAATTATTCAAAATGTGTTATTCAGATATTTTTCTTAATGTTATTTTATTATGAAATTGTTGAAATAGCAGTGAATGTGTTGAGTCTGTGCAATGCAAATATATGAGTCAATAGCTTTAATTTCAGCATTTTCTTGTTTACAAGTTTTTTTTTTAAGTTTGCCTGATACCTTGCCAGAGACAGATTACAAAGTAGATTTTTAACTCAACTAATGATACACAAAAATAATTATTAAAATAAATAAATAGTTGTAGTTTTAGCTTTGTGTTGGAATTCATTCCGTATAAACGCCATATTGTAGTGTAGATACTCAAATTAATTGTTTATATAAAAGATGTTTCGTCCCATACTTATTTTGTTATTTTTGTAGCTTTTATACTGGTAATAAAACTTTATAGATCGCAGCTTTTTACGTTATATTTATGAATTTATTAAGTTCGGTAAACTTAATCGACATTTATTTCGGAATTACTCATAATGGTGTTGAAAATTTTTATTTGGTGTATTATGTTTGTTAAATTACCTTATGCAACGTTTTGAGTTTTTCAAATAACGCACATAAAAACAATATAAAACTTTTAAAAACAACGATATTATAGATTTCAAATACATTGCCAGAATATTCGAGTTCTTGTTAAAAATATAATTGGTAATTATTGAATATTGTTTTTAAAATATGTTAAGTTATATAATATTATAGATAGATACATGCTATTGTTAGTTATATGCTCCTATGTTAACTTACGTGTAAATGCACCGTTTGGTTTATTTTTGTAATAAAATATAATATTTTGCCTATTAACTGTGTTTGTTTTATTATATTCCATACACTAATAATATTTCAAGTTAAGGAAGCCTAGTCTAAATAAATCACATCATCACATAACAACCTATAAGTGGCCACTACTGACCAAAGGCCTCTTCTCGCACGGAGGTTTGAGCATTAAATCACCACGCTTGCTCAATGCGTGTTGGCAATTTCAAACTTATAATTAGAAATTATAAGCCCAGGTTTCCTCACGATGTTTTCCGTGTGCGTTACCCAGGCCAGATATTGTCGAAAATGGTTATTTGAATCTTATAGATAAATAATTGAGCGGCTTCTGTAATTATTGAGCACATTTTTAATTTTTTTGCGCTTATTTCGCTTATGCGAATATTTAAATAATTATTAGCTATAAAATTAGTTGTCTAGATGAAGTAAATATTGTGCCTTATTTTGTATTTGTTCTTTCATCGGTTGCGAAGTTATTCGAGATTTTGCTGGGGTAACGTTTTTGGATTTGATCTTTGAAATGGTTAAGCGGATTCTTATTATATTTTGTACATGACTTTTTAGGAATTATTTTAATTTTGTTCTGCAATAAAAAAAAACAAAATAATACATAGCTTAACTGTCAAACACCAAGCGGTCACCGGTGACCGCAACCTATTGTTCTATAATTGTGTCTATAATGACGGTACTCGACGAGTTAATTAAACAGAAAAACACTTATTGGTCCCAGCACTCTCAATGAGAGCTCTAAAGACTTATTTTAAGCGTGATTTTATAGCTTGTGACTGCCTTGAAATGCATGTGAATTTTCATTAGTATCCTGTAAGTATTTAACAAGTTATGATGATATTGAGTTCTTCACGAGCACGATCTTGATGCGCGCGGTATTATTTGGCTACTGGATTGGATATGTGAACTGATTGGTATGTCAATAATTACTTTTTTTGTTCAGTTGTATATCAGTAAAATTTCAGCTCAGTACATTGGATAATTAATGAGATAATACGATTAAAGTCATTAGAAAGTGAACAACCGTGGTAACCCGACCAAGTTTAGGTGGTTACGAAAAAGCGAAAACGGAGAACATTGTGGTACGTTCTTATTTATACATTACGTACGTACGAAAAACTTCGCAACCGATGCAAGAACAAATACAAAATAAGGCACAACATTTACTTCATCTAGACTGTTCTAGACAACTAATTTTATAGCTAGTAATTATTTAAACATTCCCATTAGAAAGAAAAAGGTCTGGCTTGGGTAACGTTACCCCAGCAGGAAATGTTTTGTGAAATAACTAAAAAACTGTAAGCGCAACAAATTTAACAATGTGCGCAACAATTATGTACAGAAGCCGCACAACTAATTATCTATATGATTCAAATGACCATTTTCGACGCCATCTGGCCTGGGTAACGCACACGTGGTATCAAGTGCCGTGATGTGCACCTCTGCCTACCCCTCTGGGGATAAAAGGCGTGATGTCATGTTATGTAAAACATTGTATTATGTGTATAATACGTACTAACTGCGTCTCGAAGTTCATATTTAACCTGGAACTACATGCTCGATAAACCAAGGTTATCCTATTTTTTCAACTTTTTGTGTGTGTTCAAGGGGATCTGGGAATGGTTTAGATTCACAAATCAGCCCGGCAGATGGCGCTGCAGTCGATGTTTAGGTTATTTATCCTAAACAGCTGAACTAATTTGAATGAATTTTTGTTTATACATTCAAGTGGATATGCAGGACAACGTCTGTTGGGTCCGCTAGTATTATATAAAAATGAAACCCGTTTCCCATTGTCACGCCATAACTTGAGAACGGCTAGACCGATTAGGCTGATTTTTTTTTTGTTGTGTTTGTTATTGTCAGGAGAAGGTTCTTATGACAGAAAAATATCCTGAAAATTCTACGGGAACGGGAGAAAACGGGATTGCGCGTACGAAGTCGCGGGCAGAAGCTAGTATAAAAATAAAACGCACAAGTTAAATTCTAATAATAATTTATTGATATTTATCACATACAATATGTACAAATCACCATGCTATAATAAAATATAATCAGTACTATGCAACAAAGCCCTCTGAACCTAAACTACCGCTATTATACAAAATAATACAACTGCCTCCGTATACACCATGTATATATATACCTATTGATATATTATACATCAACATATATAAACATTTGTATCAACATATAATATACTGCATAGTCATCATGTAAAACATACGGTTTCAATAATAATATTAAAGGATAATAGGTACAATGTGAATCAATATTAACCTTCAAGTACTGACGTGGTTTACTCATACCATAAACGGTGACGTGACGTCTATCAAACACCTTAATAATTAATCGAAATGGATTACTTGTATTTACTGATTTGCACAATATTTACTTGTATTCTAATCGGTCCATTATAATTCTATTAAGGAAGTGCAAAAAATACAACGTTCTCGGATGAAATCAGCAGTTTCTGATTCAAATTCTATAAACTTAAAATATAAATATTTCCCTAACTTAAAAAAATATATGTTAAAATCTTAGCTACAATACAATTATTTGGACGTTTTTTTGGAAAATTCTTATATTCGTGAACACGCCGTCTATGAGACACCCACGTCAGTAGTTAAAGGTTAATTAAACAAATATTGTAAAAAATTGGACGACATAATATCTAACTGGGCTGAAAATCACGACAAAATTCAGTTGCGAAGTCGTGAATACCAATTAGATTTGCAACCTTACTGTTAATATAATTAAGTTGCAAATGACATATCTGGTTCCAACTCTGATCTGCATTACTATTTCTTTATATCTCTTCTTCTATTAACTATTATCTTTTCTTTATATCTTTTATAACAAAAAGCTGCCCTCTACAATTTTCTATACAAATATTTAATATTCGGCTTGTCATTTATAACATACAAGAAAATAAACTTGAAAACCCAATGATTTTGTCTGAATTCATAAAAATAATTCTGATAATTACACTTAGAAATTATATATTTTAACATAAATCATTTATATAAGAACTTAAGATCGTAATATATAACATGTATGAGGATAAAAAAACTATAATTATATGATATTGTGTCCTATTTGTTTCCTTGGAAAATGTATTGATTGTTTGCTAGTAAACTGTTATGACTACGCTATAATTTGTAAGAATTTGGTACAAAAATATATATGAAAATCTACTTTCAAATAAATTGTGAATTACTGGGACATATCTTTAAGACTATTGCACAAAATCTCTTTGTCACATTTCGAACCTGCAATACTTTTCAGATAATAATAAATAATAAATACCTAATTATTCTGAATTGTAAAATCAGCAATTTCATTATTGCAGTCTTCCCACTAAGTAAAGTACAATCGACACATTTACCAGGTAACCATCTTAAAACACAATGTAGGAGGAGCTTACAAATCAACAAATAAAAAATGATTCAGGTACGCTAATGGCGCTACCGATCCTATATAAAACGGAGGCGTTATACAAGCCACCGAACTTATACTAACTGCATTCACAATAATCACAGAATATACCCACCTTCTAAAATAACTAAAATGCGATGGAAACATGATTTGGTCGCAAATTATATCTAAAGGAAAGTTATGGACGTATGCAGCGCTATCAAAGACATTTCGCTCACTTAGTATTACTTTGTTAAAAAAACTGTGTATTTTGAGTTAAAAACTTGTGACTGATATAGTTTTATTTAGACAAAAATGATAATTTCTTCCATTCTTTTTATAATAAACAATTTCGCTAACTATACAAATGTTAACAAACGAATATAGGACATTTACCGTGGCAGTTTATTTCACATTATTGTACTTCATTTTAAGTTTTTCAATTTTATAAGTTAAAGGGAATGCTACAGATGTAATTTTATTATCAAAAATTTCTAGATTTCATTACTTTTCTTATGAAAAATTATCCTAGCTACTTCAGTAAGCAGTGTCGAACATTTACTAGGCAGCCAAAATCTCTGAATAGATTAATATCATTGCTTTTACAACCGCACATCAGTATTAACAAAAAAACAGGGAAAATGACCCTTATTGCTTTGGTATTAAAGATTATAATGGACAGCGTTTTCGTACTTAAAATGTTACTACTGATGACCGGTTGATTCACTATAGTATAATAATAAAAATAATCTCATTCTTACCCATATTCATTCAGCCGCGAGTTTTTAAACTCCCCACAAATTATCTACTATACATCGAAGAATAATATACTCTTTGTTTAAATTTCGACTAATTTTTATATTTTGTAAGAATACGCGTAGTAAAAACTGTAATCCTCTACATTTATACTAGAAATACACACTGAAGGCCATCATCGTTACCGTATTACTATTTTTGTTTTCGATCCCTCAACCTCAAACTAATTCATTCAATATTCAACCTTATGTTTCGATTAGAGTCCTTTCTAACTTTAGGAATGTTTTGATTGTCGAATTATGTATAAAACTGTATTCTTCGGACAATTTGTTATTGTTAGTGAATTTCGTCAGCCCTAGGTTTTTCAAGCCTAAAGCGCTTTTTCTTTTACGCTAGTAATTCGTTCAATAAATCGCTCGATTGTCGGTTTCTGTCAATATTCTAAAACCACGTTTAGGTCAATGTGACATCCTGTCCAATCATATTCGTGTTCCAAATTAATGATTTAAAATAATATCAGTACCTTGATATCGTTACCGTTGGTTGTTGTAATATGAGTCGTGTGCTCTGGGTGTAGAGTTTAGTATCACTTGTGCGGCACGATGGCGACGAGACGCAGTAGTACAAGTGAGAGCAGTTTGTCGAGCGGGTCGAGCGTCCCTCTCTGTAACCACTTGGGTATGGTGGTGCGAGCGTGGCTGAAGCCTAGTTTCTGTAGGATGTAGTCCACTCCATATGGCTCGATGGACTTCCCAGCCCAGGATAATAGTCTAAAGATGAAAATTATTAATAAAAAAGAGGTTACGTGACAGAGGAGTAAGGGCAGTGAAAGGAGTAAATAGGTTTTTAAGGGTCGGGAAGGCGCATGTAATGCCCCAAGTGTTGCAAGCGACCAAAGGCCACGGTAACCGCTTACCATCAGGTGGGCTATGTGCTTTCTTGCCACCATGGTACAAAAAAGTGTTTTATACATATTTAAATAATCTTTGTAGCTGATGACATTAACTGTTCAAGGACACTTGATTAATTTCGACCCAAACTGGGGCTTATAGTCAATCATGTACGAGCAGCAAACGACATTCCTTCCACAACTTGTGTTGAAAATACAAAATTAAAGAGAAAATGGAACATATATCAGAATCATGTCATTTGGCATGTTCTATTGTCTCTGGGTATCTGTTTAAGTCAGGGCCAAGACAAGTAGTTTAGTCCTGTCTGTAAAAGTGATGCAGTATTTTATTAGGGCGAGTCCATACCGCACGGTGGGCTCCAGATGCCAGGTGACGCAGCGGTAGTCCCGGTAGTCCTCGGGTCGCAGGCGCGCGCCGGGCCCCGCGGCCGCACCGGGCCCCGCGGCCGCGCCGGGCCCCGCGCCCGCGCCCTCCGCCCAGGCGCCGCGCCCACCCGCCATCTAGGGACGGACATCACACTCATTTCTACAATGCTTTCACAACTAGAACATATTTATAACATTGCCTGACTCGTCGGCCGAGTGCCGGGCAAGGGATCTCAGCTTCGATTCCCGGGTCGGGCAAAGTATTACTGGTTTTTTTTTAATCTCAGTAGTAGCACGGAGTCTGGAATTGTGCCCGGTATATGGCGATAGGCTCACCCCCTATTACATGGGACTTATAACATAAATAATGCAAAGTAAGTGATACATTGTACAGTGGCATTAAATGCCGTTATGTGCACCTCTGCCTACCCCTCTGGGGATAAAAAGCGTGACGTTACGTTACGTATTTAAAACATTGTAAGTAAGAATCCACAAAAATAATCCTCCAACATTACTTCTTCACGGTATACTATGCATTACTTTTAATGGAGGCAAATATTATTCCTTTCACAACCACATGGATTGGTGAAATGGACACTCATTTCTCGAATGCTTAGTTCACGGGCATGATTTGCATCCTACCCCATAATAGCATGTCATTATGTCAGAATTCACACTAGCAAATAGAATGTTTTCTAAGTAAGTTTAGGAAAATCAGTCCAACACAACTTACCACTCTATCCTTCTCCTTGATATAAGACGATATAAGATCGTGTAAGAACAGGAACGCCTCCGCGTCCACTGACACGAAGATATGGTCCTCAAACTCCGTGATGAAGCTGCATTCTACTACTGGTTTCTCATCTGAATAAAATTATTTTTCAAATAAATACAACAAAACAGGCTAGGCCTCGCCTCGACCGCGCAATGAGGAAGAACCCCTCTGTAGTTCGAAACTAGTAGAGCTTCTCTTGGTATTTCCACGTGAGTAATCCTCGATTTTTAGTTAATTTATGCCGGAATACTGAAACGTTACTCAATTTTAAGCCGTGCTCAAATATCGTGCCATCTCCGTCATTTTACAAAGAATTTGTAGAGATAGAACTATACTTAAGCACGACTTAAAATTGAGTAGCGTTTCAGTATTCCGACATTAGTATGTCACACGATAGTTATTATAAAAACATAACAAAATTTGTTTGCGTAAAAACATGCGCTAATTCAAGTTTCGTTTTGCGCAAATATAATTGATTGCATAATCAATGGGCTTAGCTCGTGTTAATTTAGCGCAAAATATCAAAATCGATAACATCCATAATATTTACACGTGTTTTAAGTATTTAGTGCAACATTAATTGATCTCACGTATTTCACACACTTTTGATTACAGGATCTAATAAACGAAGGTTAATGAAACGGGAATTATTTTGCGTATTTGAGATCACCTTATTATACGGTACTACGGTATAGGTATATTACACCGTATAAACCTTTCATATGGTAGGTAGGTATGCATCAAACTATAGTAAACAAAAGGTATACATACCAGTCTCAGTGGGCGGTGTATTGGCCTGTAGATGATGTGTCCGTAGATGTAGTTGTAGCGATGGCAGTGCGAAGATAACTTCCCGGACGTGTTTGTCCGCGGCCGGCTTGCGCTCCGCCGCCGGGCCCGCGCCCCCGGGGGCAGGGGCGGGCTCGCGCTCCAGGGATGGGAATAACTCGATTGCTGGACGATAGAGTGAGAATGTTTAACGAAAATGGATATCTGCACATATATGACCATTTGGCAAGATAATTTTTCCTCCCAACAGTACGCTAGAGAAGTTGGTGTTCTTCAGTTCTTCGTGTATCCAACCATAGTCAGCTACTTTGTGAATAGCTGGAGAGCGTTACACTACGATTGCTTAGGTAAGGTCTGCGTATTTGCAATTGGAATGGCTTACGTCCAGCATTGTACAGAAATAAGTAAGAACGTACCGTCAATCTCACTGTTGGCGAATGCGTAGTGGAACCACTCCCGCAGCGTCTTGAACTGCGGCGGGAAGAGCATGGCGCGCGTCATGCGGCAGACCGTGGCCATGGACAGGTGCGCGCGCGCCGCCGCGCCCGCGCCGCCCGCGCCCGCGCCCAGGCTGGCCGTCAGGCTCTGCACCACGTGCACCTCCAGCGGACCTGCCACGGGACACGTCCGCGTCGACCTCTTTTAATAATATTATTTTTAAGTCAAACCCAGGCTTTGACATAAACGGACCGACTCAAGTGGGGTAGATCACAGGAAACCAGCTTGCAATAACCCACCCTTGCGTTCTTCACGTTGTCTATGGACGACAAGTTGATCCATCTGTTAAATATCATAAACATTCCAAAATTATAGTCTTACCGTCCTCACTGGCGACCTGCTGAGCCTCAGTGGCGAAGCTGATACTCGGGTCCTTGAGACTGAACAGTGCCCAGGACTTGGCCTTGAAGCTGTTCCCGTGGAAGCAAGCCAGGGATATGTTGGTGCCGTGCAACTCCATCGTACCGCCTAGTACAGTGCCTGGTGGAAACAAAATAAATCATTAGAAAATTCATAATAACACAAGCTAATTCATAGTTTTTTAAAAAGTTTTGATCTATCGATGATAACAATTCAACGGATGTTGTCACTAAAATCATATATCGTACGTGTGAAGTTTACATGCGTAGATAAATAGAAAAAAGACATCGCGAACAACTGTTGGGCAGAAAGCCCGCCAGGCAGGAAACCTTCCCAATTCGAAAGATCCTCCTTTTTCGAAAGATCCTCCTTTTCCGATCTTAGGGAACTCTACTTTCTGTTCTAAGAAAACATATTTTACTTTAGTGATATTGACAAGAGATAACGATCTGTAGAAGCAGTCGAATAGTTACCATTGGCAGGCAGGGGGGTGGAGAGCGTCGACAGCTGCATGCCGGAGACCAGCTGCAGCACCTTCTGCCAGTGGCGGTGGTGCCGCAGCTCCGTCTGCCCCGCGCCCGTACCGCCCGCCCCGCCCGCACCGCCCGCACCGCCCTCCGCGCCGCCCGCCGCCGGGGGCGCTGCCGGCACCGATATTGGTTACTCAACTTATAAGATGGGTCTATCTAATGCAGTAACTAAAACTTAGATGGTTACGAATGTTTATGACACCATTACGCCAAAATTACTGCATCAATCTGGATGAAATTCAGTACCGAGTTAGATAAATACAGGTTTTAGTAGTTACTAAGAAATATCTACTACTACTTGTTATCTTTAATACTTAAATAATGTACAGATCGACTGTAAGATTATTAACGGAATAAAGTATTTTTTTTATTACAAAATTAATAATCTTATATATTCAAGTAAATACAACACTGGGTGAGGTAACATGTCTCCAAAATATTGGGATTTCAAATGTGGACAAGCTAGTTACTGGAATACTCACGTTCACGTCTATCACGTCTCGCATTAGTATAATTCGGATGTAAAGAGCTGAACACTCGCTTGCTCGACTTGAACTGTTGCGTGAAGAACTCTTCAAGTTTCAGCTGCATCTTCAGGAGATCTGGCGTAGTGCTTCGGGACATAAGGATTTGTAGCTGATGCCAACTCAGTTTCCCATGAGTCAGGATAATTGCCGGTCTGTTGAAAAGTTTAAAGAGTTAGAGAGGGCTGGTCAGTTAGCGCAACTTTGCGCAATATAAATCTTACCCGTTATCCTCTTCGTGAGAGCTACGACAATACGTGCTGGTTAGTTTGCGCAATAAACAGTTCATTAGTGCATTGCATTAGACTTAATTAACACGTGTTCTTGAAGTGGTTGGGAGCTACAGGTATTTGGATTTTGCGCATTTTTCGTATTAGTCTCAGGCCACAATGCAGTTTCTTATGCAACCACAAAACAAAAAAGGTGTTTTTCATTCAACATAATTTTTTGCAATCCAAACGTGGTTGATATTTTCCGCAGTGCGGCCTGAGCTGTTAATGAAAGGATATTGGGTAGTAATCGTGAATGCTAGTTTTGTTTCACTATCTACTGTTAAGTATACTTAGCGTAGAAGAGATCACACTGCAATTATTGTATACTTAGTCATGTTGGTGGAATATGGTGTGCTGTGGAGTGTTTGTTTAGTATAGTTAAAGCTAGATACTGTGTATTCTAGTCGGCGAGTTTTAGTGCCAGTGCTGTTAGCTAAGTGGTGAAATCATGTAGAAACTAGTTATATAGAATAAAAATAACAATGGATGTACTTATCAAGTTTATGTTAAGCACAAATTTTATATTCATTTGTTTGACTAATATTTATGCTATTTGTGTAGGGTCGTAGTGACGCTGTTTATGCGTGAATGTAGTAATACCGCAATCTATTGTGAACTGTGATTATTAACACTGATTTGACGATTTAACTCTGATGATTTTTTAGCTTTTGTTTGTAGGTTTTATCTGCATTGGTTTCAGCTGCTGTGTGTATCTGAGGTTATGTATGAATACATATTGGTTGAATTGTAAAATAATCTGTAGATCATAATGTCATCGTTATAATAAGTATTTTTTTTTGTAAGGGTGAAAATTATCGAAAGCCTTTTCTCGCCTGGGTGAGGCGGGAGAAGTTATTTATTGAGAGAAGTGTTTTAAGATGTATAGTTGTGAAGTGAAGTAGTGTAGTGGAAGGTACCTGGAGGTGGGCGGGTGCGGGCGCGCGCCAGCAGTACGGGCGTGCCATGTATAGTGAAGTAGTGTAGTGGAAGGTACCTGGAGGTGGGCGGGTGCGGGCGCGCGCCAGCAGTACGGGCGTGCCATGTATAGTGAAGTAGTGTAGTGGAAGGTACCTGGAGGTGGGCGGGTGCGGGCGCGCGCCAGCAGTACGGGCGTGCCATGTATAGTGAAGTAGTGTAGTGGAAGGTACCTGGAGGTGGGCGGGTGCGGGCGCGCGCCAGCAGTACGGGCGTGCCATGTATAGTGAAGTAGTGTAGTGGAAGGTACCTGGAGGTGGGCGGGTGCGGGCGCGCGCCAGCAGTACGGGCGTGCCATGTATAGTGAAGTAGTGTAGTGGAAGGTACCTGGAGGTGGGCGGGTGCGGGCGCGCGCCAGCAGTACGGGCGTGCCATGTATAGTGAAGTAGTGTAGTGGAAGGTACCTGGAGGTGGGCGGGTGCGGGCGCGCGCCAGCAGTACGGGCGTGCCATGTATAGTGAAGTAGTGTAGTGGAAGGTACCTGGAGGTGGGCGGGTGCGGGCGCGCGCCAGCAGTACGGGCGTGCCATGTATAGTGAAGTAGTGTAGTGGAAGGTACCTGGAGGTGGGCGGGTGCGGGCGCGCGCCAGCAGTACGGGCGTGCCATGTATAGTGAAGTAGTGTAGTGGAAGGTACCTGGAGGTGGGCGGGTGCGGGCGCGCGCCAGCAGTACGGGCGTGCCATGTATAGTGAAGTAGTGTAGTGGAAGGTACCTGGAGGTGGGCGGGTGCGGGCGCGCGCCAGCAGTACGGGCGTGCCATGTATAGTGAAGTAGTGTAGTGGAAGGTACCTGGAGGTGGGCGGGTGCGGGCGCGCGCCAGCAGTACGGGCGTGCCATGTATAGTGAAGTAGTGTAGTGGAAGGTACCTGGAGGTGGGCGGGTGCGGGCGCGCGCCAGCAGTACGGGCGTGCCATGTATAGTGAAGTAGTGTAGTGGAAGGTACCTGGAGGTGGGCGGGTGCGGGCGCGCGCCAGCAGTACGGGCGTGCCATGTATAGTGAAGTAGTGTAGTGGAAGGTACCTGGAGGTGGGCGGGTGCGGGCGCGCGCCAGCAGTACGGGCGTGCCATGTATAGTGAAGTAGTGTAGTGGAAGGTACCTGGAGGTGGGCGGGTGCGGGCGCGCGCCAGCAGTACGGGCGTGCCATGTATAGTGAAGTAGTGTAGTGGAAGGTACCTGGAGGTGGGCGGGTGCGGGCGCGCGCCAGCAGTACGGGCGTGCCATGTATAGTGAAGTAGTGTAGTGGAAGGTACCTGGAGGTGGGCGGGTGCGGGCGCGCGCCAGCAGTACGGGCGTGCCATGTATAGTGAAGTAGTGTAGTGGAAGGTACCTGGAGGTGGGCGGGTGCGGGCGCGCGCCAGCAGTACGGGCGTGCCATGTATAGTGAAGTAGTGTAGTGGAAGGTACCTGGAGGTGGGCGGGTGCGGGCGCGCGCCAGCAGTACGGGCGTGCCATGTATAGTGAAGTAGTGTAGTGGAAGGTACCTGGAGGTGGGCGGGTGCGGGCGCGCGCCAGCAGTACGGGCGTGCCATGTATAGTGAAGTAGTGTAGTGGAAGGTACCTGGAGGTGGGCGGGTGCGGGCGCGCGCCAGCAGTACGGGCGTGCCATGTATAGTGAAGTAGTGTAGTGGAAGGTACCTGGAGGTGGGCGGGTGCGGGCGCGCGCCAGCAGTACGGGCGTGCCATGTATAGTGAAGTAGTGTAGTGGAAGGTACCTGGAGGTGGGCGGGTGCGGGCGCGCGCCAGCAGTACGGGCGTGCCATGTATAGTGAAGTAGTGTAGTGGAAGGTACCTGGAGGTGGGCGGGTGCGGGCGCGCGCCAGCAGTACGGGCGTGCCATGTATAGTGAAGTAGTGTAGTGGAAGGTACCTGGAGGTGGGCGGGTGCGGGCGCGCGCCAGCAGTACGGGCGTGCCATGTATAGTGAAGTAGTGTAGTGGAAGGTACCTGGAGGTGGGCGGGTGCGGGCGCGCGCCAGCAGTACGGGCGTGCCATGTATAGTGAAGTAGTGTAGTGGAAGGCCGCTTTCTAGTGTAAGTGACTACGGAACACTTAGATGGGTTGAGATCCAGTTTATTTATCCGACAATACTCTTCAAGCCGATGCAAATCCGCCTGGAGTGCCAGACCATCGTCAGGAGTTGAGATAGTAGCTGACAGTTTCATGTCATCAGCAAAACATAAAAGTTTGGATGTATGAAAGCACTTGTTGATGTCGTTTACATAGATCACGAATAGAAAAGGACCGAGCAACGATCCCTGAGGTACTCCGCTGGGTACATTTACCCAGCTAGAAATGTAGTTATTGAGTACTACTGCTTGTGACCTATTGTCGATGTATGAAGCGAACCACCTCAAGAGGTCGCCGCTGATGCCTGTGTCAATAAGCTTCTGTAACAGGATATCGTGGTCAATCCGGTCAAACGCCTTGCTGTAATCTGTGTAAACCACATCAACTTGCTTACCTTTATCCATGGCATCCGTGACAGAGTCATTAAAAAGAATTAGGTTGGAAATAGTAGACCTCCCTCTCAAAAATCCGTGTTGAAAGGAGTTAAATTAATTGGCCAAGGCGGAGTATAACTGTTTGTAGACAATCCTCTCAAATATCTTAGTTATAATGCACAATTTGGAGATAGGCCTATAATTAGTGATCTCGGTTCTTGACCCCTTCTTATAAACCGGCGTAATTAAGGCGGCTTTCCATATTTTGGGGACTAAACCTTGAGTCAACGATTTAGAAAACAGTATGGAGATAGGTGTGGCAATGGAAGGTGCGCATTTTATAAGCAATTTAGGCGATATTTCATCAGGGCCAGCACCCTTCGCTGGATCCAGATTACGTACTAAAGCGGCTACTTCATCCGCCTCAATCCTAATGTGGTAAATGTCAGATAAATTACGATAACAGTCGAGGTGGCGTCCGGACTCGTGAGGAACTATCAGACGAAGTGCGACAGAGGAAGGTGGACATGAAATAAGAAGAAAAAGCCTCGCAGATAGAATCCCCAGTAACTAACGTGTTGCCATTGTAGTTCAATGTGTTAGGTATGGTATTAGAGTTATGGCGATTTTTAACTAAACTCCAGAAGTGTTTAGGGTTAGTTTTAATGGAATTTTCAGTATGTGTCAGATATGATTTGTAACATAGATCCTCCATAGTCTTAACTCTATCACGTAAACATTTGAAAGTTATCTCGTCTGATTTATTACCATATATCTTAAATTTTCTTAAGTATTTATATTTTTCTTTAATAGTTTTTACAAGTGACGAGCTTAACCATACTGGATATTTATTATTGCGTATTAACTTTTGTGGTATAAACTTTTCTAATGATTTTATTGTACCATTAAAAAAATCTACTGATTCATCAAGCGACCGAACCGAAAATTCAGCCTCCCAATTGATAGCAGCAATCTCTCCATTAATAGACTCAAAATCACCCCTACTGTAAATATACCGCAAGCGCGGCGCATGGTCAAGGGGAGGTATTTCAAAGATATCAATATTAATTAATAATGCAGGATGATACGGGTCAATAGGTACTAGAGGATCAACACATTCACTAACACAGGCTAACTTATTTGAGAGGACCAAGTCCAAAAACTTGCCATACCTGTTAGCAATCCCATTAAACTGTACTAAGTCCATTGTAGATAGCTCATCAACAAATAAACATTCGTCACTAGTGGTGGGATTTAACGGGGCCATAGAATGATCATTAGAAGGTATCCACGTGATACCACTCATATTAAAATCCCCTAAGACTAAAAATACGTCGGTATTTGTTCTATGTAGAATTGCATTGTTTAATTTGGAAAGGAAGTTGCTAAGCTGTTGCGAGAATGATAACCCTTTATTTTGTTTACACAAATACACTGCACAAATATATAAATTGACGTATTCTCGTGACCCTGAATTCTTAAGCTGCAATTTGATCCAGAGATCCTCCGCTGATGAATGCAAAAGTGATACTGGAGTGACTGACAATTCCCTGCGCGTCGCTATAAGTACACCACCACCTCTCGTTTGGCCGGTCATAACATAATCTCTGTCACGGCGCCATACCAAATAGCGACCATCAAATAGCTCCGAGTTTAGTACTCCATCCAATAACCACGTCTCCGTTATGATAATAACATCATAAGAACTCTGTAGAAGCTGACGGTAGAAGGAATTAGTTTTTGTTCGAAGTCCACGAACATTTTGATAGAATATTTTTAATGCACTGCTATTAACCATTGCATATTTTAATAACAATAATCGAGTAGTCAACAAAAGCAACATAGAATAATCGTATTAGTAAATAATTATCGGGGCAATTAAAAGTTAAACATTCAAGAGTTAATAAATTATATTGCAGGTATAAGTAAATAAAAGTAAATGGAATTTTTATATAATCTAACCTCGGGGCGAACATGATCACGAGAGCAAGCAAGCAATAGCATACCATTCGCGTATGCGTGATTGAGGCGGATATATAAAATGTATGTACCAGATCTCGTCTACAAGTACTGCGAAATGGAACGTTAAATTGAATCATTATCAATGCAGAGGTGCTAAACCTTTTACTAAAATTAAGTAAACTAAATTTTTTGTGACGACATCGACACTTTTTAGAAAAGTTAACGAAACTCGGCAATCCAGAAACTAAATGTAAATAATAACAGACTAAATAATTTTGCTTAAATCGGATTCACGCCTGACTATGAAGGTTTTACAGTTAACATCCTTCCTTACGTGAATTTTACCGTGCTTCACCCAAACCACTTTTTTCTCCATGTTGTCTCAGACACACTAGCACAAGAAAAATCTAGGTGCTTCTTGCAACCCATACACTGCACCCTATCATTGAAATTAATACCGCAATTCGCACACGACTTCATCACTACTGGGTTAAAAAACAAATTACGGAATTAAGCCGATGGTTGTAACTATGAACTCACAAAAAAAGGTTGACGATCTATTTTATTGGCCGAATGCAGCACAGTGCACATACGATTCTAATGCGTACCCACACGGGAAATGAATATAATATAATATTTATACTAAATTTAAATACAATTTATAATTTCAATCTTGACCTTATCCTTATTTGTATATTGGTCACACAAGACAGTTACGAATGCACCATTCAATACGCGCAGCGGTACCCCTTTCATTTAGTCACATGGTATCTACTAGTTAATATTAATACATGCATACCCGATATTTTGAAATATTATCATCATCAACTACATCAACAACAAATACGTCAACTAGTTTCAATCAAAATCACTCAAAATTAATATAATATTCATACCGTAAGTATCAATAGAGGACAAACAGATGGCTCCCCCCACGATGCCCCCCCTAGCATCCAGTTCGGAGCCAGCTAAAGCGACCCCCACCAACATGTTGCGGTGCCCCGTACTGCCGATACTCAGTCGGCCTGTGCAGTTGAAGTCACGGCTCTGCCAACTACAAACCAAAAACGTGATGGTTTAATAATCTTATCGCTTACTATAAGACACGGTGGTCAAATACCATCCTATTATTAAAATATATATTTTGTCAAGCTTAAACTAATACTTTCAAGATCAAAAGCTTGTTTTTTTTTATTAGAACAGAACTATCAACTTAATATCTTAAATTAATTTATTTTACACTGCATTACACGCTTAAAAATGACTGAAAAGACTCCATGTCATATAGCATTGTTCGTAAATCATAATGAAAAATATCACTAGCAATAACATAATAAACATACCTGACATTCCCCATAACGTTCCCCATGTTCATATGCACGTTGAGTCGCGTGAAGTTGACGGCGAACAGTACGAGCGTCTCCCAGGCCGCGCCCACCGAGCCCGCACCCACTACACCGGCCTTGGTGCTGTCTGCGGCAACCAAACATCATCACGTCTTATAGGTCACACTCAAGATTTTTAGGAATTACATAGGTACGTAGAAATCGCATCACAAATGCGTATTCTTACAAGAAACAATATTTAACTCGATATCAAAGTGCGCAAAACTTAAGTCGTTGCGCAAAATGAAATATTATTTGCGCAATGACTTTTTGATACTTTATGATATTTTTGTTCAATATTATGCAACATACCTTTGGACTTCTGAAGATCAACAGTCTTAGTTTTCTCTCTCTGAGGTAGAACGGGAGATACAGGAGCGTTACTACTTGATGGTCTACTAAAAAGACAAAAAGAACAAATCAGCTCATTGCAATATATTAATTTATAACTTCGATTGCAATATAGTTTTTATAATATAGTTCTTACCCATGATCCCTAGTGTCGTGTAGACTAAGGTCACCGAGGAACATACGTCTAACTATGGTACGTCTGTACCACGCTTTAGGGAAGGCCAAGATCTCGCCCAGTCGACGCATGTCATACTTGAACCATGCTGAGCCGACGTCCACGATCGCTGATGGGGAAAACATGTCTTTGATAATTATTTTATAATCAAGAATATAAAGTTTTTTTTAAGAATATAAAGTTGTTTTTGTCCTACACTACACGATTATGTATCACTATACTATGAAAATATTTAGGCATTCTATAGGTTTTGACAAGCCTAAATCATAAAAGCGTAAAAAATTAAAACTCACTTGAGAACCTAACAGTAGCTTTAGACTGATCCTGATCAGTTTGGAAGTCCAATTTCCTGGACCTGGAGAGGTGGAACTTGACAAACTCGACGTTGATGCTGAGAGAGTCCTTGCGTTCGGTGTCAGAGAGGGGAGACCATTGTGCCTCTTTGAGGCTGGACTTCTTCCCTCCGTACGGATGGAACATATTCACTGAGAAGTCTGCTAAGCATCCTGTTACGCTTAGCCCGCCCATTGCTACCGCTGGTTCCGCCATTTCCCTGTAAAGTAAAAAATTAAGCATAGTAATTTACAATATTCAAAATCGTTTTCGTTTATAAGTAATATATGTGTCGTTTGCTTTGCTATAGACATCTTGTTATTTAGCAGGTAATTTTATCAAGCTCATGTTATATTAAAACCGTAACTATATTTTTAACGTTATGATAATGTGATTTTCTGTAAGTAAAACAAGCGGATAACAAATAAATAAGATACTAACTCATCACTAGCCCGCTTGGAGCTGAAGACAATCTGCAGACTGGGCAGTTGCAGCAGACACTCGACGCGCGAGGCGGGCAGGCAGCTGAAGCGGAAGGTGCTGGGCTGCATGTGGAAGTGGACGATGACGTCCACGGGGAACGACGCGTACACGTACTGCCCGTACGACGCGCCCTCCGCAGACCGCGACCGGGACCCGCTCTCTGCTTCTGTACACCAACACAAATAGGCATTTTTAAAGCGCAATATTTCTAAACTAGCCGAAGCATGCAATTGGTTTGTAACCTAGAAAAAATATTTAATACGTTGTCAACGTTACTCCATAATAATAAGGTTGAAAACTTATAATAACTTGGTTTGCGTTTGCGATTACGGCATTTTTTCAGTAAATCTTTTGTCTAGTTCATAAATCGGGCATCACTCAGCAATTTCTTTCTTCTATAGATTTCATGACATATTTTGAATATCATTTCAAAAATCTAAATTTACTTACCGGGTGTAGGAGTAGAGAAAGACGCTTTGGTCGGTATAGGTTCGAGGGTCTGTTCCAGGAACTCCAGTATATGTGGACTGATGATGGTCTCCTCAGGAATGCTCTGCAGCGTGATCCAGGCAAACAACGCCGCCTTCTTGATGCCCACCTTACGGGGACCCACGTTCAGGGAGGGGAGAGGGGGAATCGTTTGAGGGGATGTCGCTTCTTCTGGTAGCGTTTTAGATTCATAGTGGACCTATGGAAAGTAGTATTAAAGAATGAGGTGCAGTTAGGGAAATATAAAATTAAAAACTTGTTGCTTTAATATTTCAAAAAAATTGTAATCGAAACTGAGACCCCTTACTCGGTTTATATTTCATAGCTTTTGACGAATGAGGCAGTTTGACTATTGAAAACAGGTACTTGTTATTATACTTTTTTTTATCAAAATTCATAATGGCAAATCACGAGTTCGAAAGACTCAAGAGTAGAATAATACACAGACAAGTATAATAACCAACTTACCTTTAGGTCCAGTCCGGGCACACGGAACACGGTGAGATCTAGTACAGGTACATGTCTAGCATGCGCAGCTTTCCGCCGTGCCCCTGGGGGGGAGCTACTCCCCCCTGCCACCCCCGCCGCGCCCTCTGCTAGCCCGCCTGATGCTGAGCGACCTACGCGCATGCGGCCACTAAAAGAAATAAGACCAATTATTATCATTAACTAAACTAATAGAAGCTCTGTCCCTGTAAACTTGAAGACTATGTAACATTCCGATTCCGATCATTTTAGATTTAAACTTTTTGTCTAATGATAGTGTTTGTGATTACATCAACCCAATTCAATCTAGTCTATTGCAAAGAACCATACACTGTTTTGCGTATAAATAGTAACGTAGAGTATAGTATAGATAGATGACCGAACTCACATCTTGATACTATCATCGTCCTTGCTGGGCTCCTTGGTGTGCAGCACGCACTTCCCACTGTTGATGTAGACCTTGACGTCCAGCTCGAAGTCTATGTTGGGCTCCGCAGTCTTCGCCTTATTCGCCTTACCTTCGGAGCTCAGGCCTTCTGATTGCTGGACGTTGCTGTTGAAAAGAGAATGGTGATTACAAGTTTTGTCTGAATATAATTTTTCATCTCTTCTACTTAGGTGTTGTAAGAGACCAAGTTACTCTGTGATGAACTTGAAGCTTACTAGTTTGCGCTCTCCAATTTGCCTATTAAAGTGTGGAAATTATTGTAAATTCATTATATTCAGAGGACGCCAATAGTAAACCAATGGACTAACATGGCTGTTGACGATGATAATGTATGTTCTTGTTTACTATTTGCTAAGTGCAATAACAGGCATTAAATATAGTTTTTCAATTGGCTACTAGATTAGCAAAGATCGCAACATGCTGGCTAATAGAATAAGCTGAGGTATTGAACCAAAATGAGAACGTGACTGACATGTCAGGTTTCCTCCTGAGCTCGACCCCGTGCAGGTCGTCGGGCCAGTGGTCGGGCTGCGCGGGCAGCGAGCTCTGTCGCTGCACGCCGGCCGGCGCCGGGCCGCGCGCGCCCGCCCCGCGCGGCCCGCGCAGGGACGCCGAGCGGGACGGACCTGCGCCACGGACACCACCCGACATTAGTCTTGTCATTTACATCACATGTAATGAAACACAATGATAAATACGATGTGTCAGACAACGATAACCAACGCTAGCAGAGGATTACAATTACTCGAATAATACATAAGTTTATTTCACATTTAAATTCATCAGTTTCGCCAGTCACCAACTTTGTAGATATAATTTGTACACAATATTTACTAAATTATAGTCTGAACTGACCAGTAAGCGGTTCACTCTCCATAGAGCTCCAGCTGCCCCCTTCAATGATGTCGGCCAGTCTGTTGTCCTCGTCTCCTAACAGTAAGGTCTCGCCGGAGTCTCCCACACCCGGGGACATGGTCAGGTTCGGTTCTATAGCACTGTGACAAACAAATAAATACAAATAAAATATCTATACAGTGGTATGAATGTTTTATTTGCATTTATTTATTTGTTTGTTATAGTTTGGTTGTTATTAAGTTACACAAACATTTTTGAAGACCACATTTTTATCTTGAAATAGTGAAGAAAGCTTTACAAACCTGACGCGGTCACAGGTTGCGGCAGTGCGTATAAAATATAGTTCTCATCTCAATGGCCTGTTATTCTATCAGTGGACAGAAACTAGATGGTAATAATGACATAGTACGTACCCTTCGAAGTCTTTCCTCTCCTGTGGTGGTGAGGGTACCACGAAGGACTTGCTCCTGTTGGAACCTAATCCCAATTTACCCTTCGTGATGGAACTGGCACGCACGCTTTGACGACGGAGCTTCTGAATCATATCTCTGTGAAAGATAAAATAATAATTGTATTGCGCTAATCTGCGCAACTTGCACAACAAATGCGCGCGTATGCGCGATTTTATTTATTGAAGTATTTCAACTATTCTTCAGTTGTACTTCACATAAAATTGGCTCGAATATATCGATATCGGATAAGCGCCGATTCAACCTATAATGGTTGAGCGAGTATAAACTCATTTATTTACCCTTTATTGCAAAAATATCACAAATATCTACTACATTCAATTATGAACTGTATCCCAAACAACAAACCGTCTAAAATCCTTAAACACAAGTGCCTCCAAGTCATGAAGCCTCTTCATTTCATACTCAATAGTAGTATGACTGGCTCCCAAAGTGCGAAGGTCGTTGATAATCTTGGCTTGTTCATTCATCTCTTTCTCAATGAGTTTGGACCTCTTCTTAGCGTCGATACTTGTGTCGAAGACAAATGCTGGCAGGTGGTCTGTGTACTTACGACGGAGGATTATACTCTCCTGGTGGGTCCAATGACAAAATTGTTATTAATACAAGACTAAGAATTTGAAAGAAAACGATAATAACTACTTGGGTCTTTACAGTGTAATTCGTACCTGAGAGTCCTTACTGTTATCAGCTTCATCGTCTAGATCACTTTCGTAATCCATTTTCAGGGGATCTTCCTCTTCGTATCCTGAGGATACAAAACACACATATAAGACGATTTTATTCACATTTTTTTCTCTTAATTACCCATGGAATGGTAAGTAATGACTTTACCTGTTAACATGGTGAGAGTGTGTCCTAAAGCAGACAGTTGTTTGCCGACATTGACATCCAGATGTATGTCTACACCTTCCATTTGCCAAGACACGTTTAGGAACCATTTGGCGTTTTCTGAAAGATAAAAAAGGGATTGGGAAGAATTAAAAACCAAAAATCCAATTCAAGTTCCTTTTCCGTGAGTTTTGAACAAATCACACAGTATTTACCTTCATTTTACACAAAAGCGAGCTTACCATTATGTTTAGCAGCGGTAGTCCTGCTGCAGACTTCGTAAGTCCCTTCAGAGACACAGCAGACGTTGAGGCTTGGTTCATCAGCTCGAGGTTTCCAATCATCTAATGAGGCTTCAAAGTCGTCTGCGAAGCGGAGACAGAGGCCTACGAAGCGGCCCTTGGAGACCAGAGCCCCGGAGGAACACGCCCCGATGTGTGTGGACTCTAAGGTCACTACTACAGCACCGCGAGCTTCGCCCTCCCCGCACCACGCGCCCCACGCACCACGACCTAAGCCCCAGCGAGCCTGTACAAACATGTATGTGTTATTAATAAATGCTGCAAGTAAGGGCTGAAAAAACCAAATGCTAGACGATCTATATTAAAAAGTCTCGCGAGATCGGTTGCTACATGTAACAAAATATTATGTAGTATACCAATTCTTATTACAAAAATGTAATTAGGCGCAGTTTTATTTTAAGAAAATTGCACATTAGAATAAAAATTCAGGGTACAGTACTTACCATAGGCGGTTGATTTAGCGGCAAACATATTCCAATATCATCTACATTTAGTTGCAAAAACAATGTACTCAGATGCGGCGTGGTGATCTGTGACGTCAGTTGTACCTAAAACAAACGATTACTTTATAACTCAAAATCTGTAGTGCATTTTGAGAACTTTAGTTTACCTTCAGAAATTACTGAAACACCATTACACTATCGAAACTAATTTTAGTTGATAATACCTATATACGCTATCATAATAGCTGATGATTTAAAAAAGTACCGTCTATAGACAAAATGAACATACCTTCTCAAAAACTTGTTGAGTAGCCGTCAAAACTTCTTTATTAAGATTGAGTCTCTTCTCATTCCAGTACTCATACGCATTCTTATAGTTTAGCCATACAAGTATAGCTTTATCTACTGCGACCGGTTGTATGTATATCAGAGGTCGTTTTAAATTGATCAGTACCACTTCTTTGTCATCGCCGCATACCATCTCGTCTTGGAAAGCGTTGCGCATCGCTGGACAAATTGCGCAAGTTAGTTAAAATGTTGCGCAAGTTAGCGCAACTATGAAATTATCAATATTGATCATATTTGGTCATGTTTTGTATGACAGAAATGAATAAGTAATCATGTAAATAATTGGTATACAAATGTTTAAAAGTAACTTACATATCCTAGTATTGAAGAAAGCATATTGTTGGAACTCTGCTTCTGCTTCTTCGAACATTGCATTTCTGATTAATTGTCCTAAGCTGAGATTGACGTCAACCTGCGCTCTAGCAAACATTCGTACTTCATGTGGCTCAGTGGGTTGTTGTACGTTCTGTACACGGTTCGATATCTCGAACTCTACAGCACCTGTCTCCAGTCGCACTGCTGAGTTACTTGGAGTCGTCGCTGTTAGTTGTATACGCTAAGACAGAAGACAAAATTGTTAATAATTACTTTTAACTATATGAATAAAGACGGAAAAGGAAATTCATGAGATAAAATATTAAACAGTTTAAAAAACGGACACCGGTGACCGGAACCTATTGTTGTATAATTGTGTCTATAATGACGGTACTCGACCAGTTAAATATAAATTGGTTGTGTTAGTGAGTAACGTACCTTTATTCTAATAGTAAGTGAGAATAGAATCCTGCTGAGAGCTGACGTGGATGCTTCTTCTTCGTTCCACAGGGGTACTGGCTTCTCACCGCCGTACACTTTCTGAACTACCTCGTTCACTTCCTATAGAATCAAAAGAAATACATCAATGAATGTATTAAATGAGGAGTTTATAGAGAAAAGGAAGTTTATATTCAGAAAGAGATGATTACAAATTAATTAGAATGGTGAAGAATGAAGAATGGAATTAACATTAACCTTATCATACCGGATTGCTTAAAGCAGAGCGGGCTCTCAGCGAACATACAACGAACATGCCGCGGGGGTATTTGTAGCACGTCGGCAACATCTTCAGGTCGCAGTCACTCCCAACCCACTAGTATGATAAGGCATTTAATGTAGTAGCAGATGTTTTGTAGTGGGAGTTACCTTCATGAAGACCTTCTGCACGAAGACGAGATGGTTGAGCAGGTCGGTGGAGAGCGTGTGCTCGAAGAGGCCGATGTCTGCGGAGGCGGCGACGTACCGTCCGGCGCGCAGCACGGCGCCGCCGCGGCGCGCCGCCCCGCGCTGCTCCAGCACGCGCCCCGCCACGTGCACGCCCGGCAGCCACACCGCCGCCTCCGCCGGCAGCGACGCCGCGCCCACCTCCGCCATCTGCGCGGACATCAGGGACTGTGAGCTTACCGGAGACACAATTATCCCCCTCCCCACTCTCCCCAATACCCAAATACCTCATAATGCTCAAATTCCCAATTCCCAAAAGGCCGATTTTCGCCGTACTTAAATAAAAACTGCTTCAATGATAAGAAAAAACTCAGTATTAAATATTGCGATTACTGCATTCTTAATTACAACGGCACACTTGTAACGCCTCACGTATTTCAGGTATCCATGGGCGACGCCGATTGCTTACCATCAGGTGATCCGTCTGCTCAATCATCGGCTTATCTCATAAAAAAATTTAAACAGAATTCATTGACTTTTAACATGAAAGAAATTGAAAAATCAACTTGTCTTTCATCGAGCTTAAAATGTCACGAACTAATGAACAAAAATTTACTTCCTCTTTATAGTACCAGTAAATACAGATGACTATCGTCAAAACCTTTCCTACTCTTACAACCCACACAAAATCTCCTAAACTACATACCTGCAGCTTAGTGACGAAGCTGAGCGAATGTTGTTGCAGGTCGACAGTGAACTGCGCCTTGTTGCCGGTGACGCCAGAACTCTGTACTTGCTCCATCTTGTACTGCGCCTGCAGGGACGGCAGGAGGGCCGCCGTCACACTCAGGCTCTGACACAGAGAAAATACATCAGTTACAACACCATTCGTAAGCTTTGTAAGAGCTGACCATGAGGTTAAAACAGATATGAAGCAGCAGCGCTCTCTGATAAACCTGTACCACTTGCAAAGCGTGGAGATTACAGCAAACTCTCTTATACATAGACCTCCTGGCCTACAGTCCAGCAGTGGACTGTTGTCGAAACTCGTAAAGCTTTTCTCGATATATTGCCGTATCTCCAATTATTTTTATAGTGTATACTTTAACATGTCATACAAAACTTACTTGTAAAACAATAGAGAAATGTAGATGCAGTGGGTTTAGCAGAGGATGCGCAGGGGCGGGGGCTGGGGAGCCCTCGGATGACGACCCTGACCCACCGGCCCCACCACTAGTACCCGTCGGACCTGAGGATGGACCACTGGGACCCGTCCGGGAGAGACGAGATGATGTACGGGTTACACCTAGTTCCTGTAAGAAGGAGAATAAAGAAGTTGTGAGTTTGAAGTAGGAATAAGTTTCGTCTGTTTATTACAAATTCATAAAAAAATCGTATATTTAATTCCAATCTAGATTCTCTTACACCAGACCTTTCTTATCTAATTTGGCCGCGACAATCTTAAACAAATTCAGCTGTGTGTCAGTAAATGGCTTAATGTTATACTTGTTACATTATTTAGATCGCGTGGCAGCTCCAAGCAACTATGTATTACCTGCAGCGTAGAAGACAGCTGTCGACTAGAGCGCGTCATGACCCCATGCAGAGCCACGGGGTGCTGGGGCAGGTCGACCCGGACGCCCCCCACGCTGAGCAGGGCGGTGGCGCCAGGCCTGCCCGCCTCCCAGCCGTACAGCGCCTGGGACTTGCCCACGCTCACACGGACCACCGTCCTAAACACAAACAATATATCATCAGAAATGTTATGCGCAAAAGTAACAATGTCTTTTGGCTATTTGCGCAAATGCAATTATACCATTATGCAATTTGCGCATAGTACTTGCGCTAAAACATTAGGTAATCTTTGCGTAGCTTGCATAATTGACTTTTCGGTTGAAGCTGTGGTTGGGCAACCAGCTACATAAATGAATACTCACTGATGGTTAGGAGCGACTCCTTCTAGCAGCACAATCATGGTCCTTCCCAGGTTACCAGTGAGTGACCACTGGCGTGATCGCGACGCTGATAGTGAAGCTTGGAGAGATGTTATCTCCGCTTCCAGCTTTAGACCAGATAGAGATGCCAGGAGACGAGTGCGATGGATCCTGACAAAAATAATGAATATGATAATTTTGATCCGAATGAGATACGAGTTGAGTCGTAGTTTACCGCATAATTTGACGTATTTTCCATATGAAATGTGCCAAAATATGCTTTCAAAACTGAGTATCTATCAAATTAAAGAAAATATAAGATATTACCTAGCGACTCCGACGACGACCATGCCCATGTTCGCTGCGCTGGAGGAGGAGTTGCTGGTGTTCTGTTCCCGCGAGCTCGGTCGTTGGGGCCGGCTGTGGCGGTACTGCTCTGGGAGGTCTGTTGTTACTGAGAACCTGCATCAGGTATAAGAAATACTTAGTAACACCATAACTTCGTTACACTACAAGTAAAATTTACTACTCTTCCAAAATATGTTCAATACATACCTGTGCGTAATAGTCTCTGCATCAGGCATATTAGCGTACAGGTCCAGCAGTAGGTATACAGTCCTCCAGCAGCGCGGCGCCAGCTTGCCATCCGCCGCGTCCGCTGAGGGGGAACTGAGCTCGGGGGGGACACCCCCGCCTGGACTGGGGGCCGCGCTGGGGGGCACGCCGGGGCCCGGGCTGCCCGCACCCAGGGAACTACGGGTCGCTGCGTACATCGGCGTGTGGGCGCCTTCGTTTAGTGAGCTGTAGCCTGGGTACAAATACACAGACATTAATTGATGAAGTTGGTTACAGTTAGACACAGTCTTAGAGTTAGCCTAGACTACTATTTATTTTTTTTACTTTACTTACGAGACTAGCTACGCAGCGTCGATGGGATTTATGCTCACCAGGTGCCACTTGTACGGAACTCTCGTCATTCTTCCAATAGAGAATTAGCCAGTGTCACGCCATTGGACGTTCAATTTATAACAATTACAGTGATTGGAAAAACTGACCTCTTGCTAGATTAGTGACATTGGATGAGTAAAAACGGTGGCGTCTATTGACTCAACACAGCACCACACGTGCTCATTGCGGGTTGGCGATTACAAACTTATAATTAGAAATAGCCTAGGTTTCGTCACGATGTTTTCCTTCACCGTCAGTGGTGTCTAGATAATCTAAGAAAGTACATATAACTAGAAAAAAATCACGTCAACATAATTAGACACAAACAAATCGTCCTTAAAGAATAACTCACCAAGTTTTCCTTTAACACTCTTGCCGGTAGATCTAAGTTTCTGCGCAAAGGACTGCGGTCGTGGCCTAGTCGGCTGAGCCAGTTTCTGTTGGCTGAGGGACTGCGGCACTGCTGCAGCCAGCTCGGGAGTCAGGGTGGGAGCCATCAGGTCCCACTTCGGTTCTAGAGTCGCGTATTGAACCTCTTTTTCTAGAGACGATACGCTTACTAAGTTTTCTCTGAAGTCAGATACTGTAAGAAAAAAAATGTTACCATTTAAATATCACACACATTTAAAGTCTATTTTATCTAATTTTTTCTTTTATAAAAACTTCAAGCTTACCAGAGGAGGAGGTATGTTTATTCTGTCGATGAGATATCTTGGTCTGTGTCCGCAGTTCTATCTGCGTGTCCTTCACGTTCTGGTACATGTTGCTGATCTGATGCAGTAGGCGGAGGAGTGGCATGTTCACCTGCACACAGGTTATGAGTAGGAGATAAGTACTTGAGATATGATAGAATCACCTTCATGTATTTTTAGATTTGTTCTGGTAAAAAATCAATAAATCAAAAGAACGTAAATTTAGACATTTGACTTACCTGTTGCGATATAAACCGTATACTGATATTGAAGTTGAGCATAGTACTGATATGCTTCTTGAGCTGTCCCCTAGAGATATACAGGACATTCTGTCGCTGTATGAGGTCGTCCACTGCCACGTCTGCCACCTTCTTCAGATCCACGTCGATGGAGACCTTCTCGCAGAGGAACGCTGGAGTCTCTGATTGAATCGCGCCGTGACTTTGAGGACCTGGAAAAGTATTATTAAGTAAGTGCAATTAGATTTTTAATCATTTCAGTAATACAATTATATTTTTTGTTTATTAAAATCACGAGGATTTCTCGTAGACAAAGATCAAAGCAAATACAATAGGTATCAATTTGCAACTTTGAAGATAAACTTACTCTTCCCCTTCCCAGCATGTCGTCGGTCCCTGGCAGCGAGGTCGCTGACGACGATGTCGATGCGGAACATATCCATCCAGGCTACCAATGATAGCTTCGATCCCAGTGAGTCTAACGCGGGGGGACCTGAGTTCACCCCCTCTCCTGAACCGCTCTTGTTCTTTGATTCTCCTGGGGGAAATATTAATAATAATAAGTTCATGTTTTTATTGAAAACCAATGGAACCTTAAAAATATAATGTATACTTTGAATACTGTAAGAAAAGAAACGATACTTTTTAAGAAATTATTTAACACAAACGTCAGTAAAAACTACACTATTGTAACTTATTGTCTCATGAAAAAAAGTAATTCCTTCGAGTAGAAAATAAAATCCAATTATAAGTTAGATAATTAAGGATTGACTATAAAACTTCATATTGTAGGTACACGGGTACGATGCGCTTAGGCAGCAGTTAGATATATTGCACCACACAGCTGCACCGGTGAATACTACTCGACGCATTATATTCAGTCGCAAATAAATAATGTGTCCCGTATGGTTGTTTCTGTACTTCTCCTCACACATACCCTAAGACAACCTCTAACCTAAACAAACCTAAAATATCATTTTGGTTTTGATTAATTCTTGTGAATGACTATTACTAAACCACACGTACCTTGAGTAACTTGATGCGGAGAAACCCCAAGCGCAGCGAGGAAGGGTTGGAAGACAAGATGGGCGTCCAGCAACATCAGGGACCCCTGCAGCGGGTACAGGCTGCAGGCAGGCATGGCGGCCGCCACCGCGCGGGGGTTCATCTTCGAAGGAGGAATTATTGGCTTCTTGCTCTTTGGCTCCTGTTAGTACATGACCGTGTTAGACTCTATACGTGACGTGTTTAGTGCGTGCTGATGAGACGAGCCAATCATGCTACGTGTACATAGAACGCTAGTGTTGTTTAGTTGCGTGCTCGTTGTTCTATACGGTGTGTGGTTATAATACTATGTTAATGATAATTTACTGTCACTGTAACAGTGCAGTTCCAAATAAATGAATGAATACTAGAAAAGCTTTATCGATGGTTTGACAGACCATTTAAAACATCATATTTATAAAACCAAAAATGAAAACAAAACATAATAAAATAAGCCTAAATAAGTAACAAAGACTTGAGTCAAGTTACACCCAGTACCACAAGATTTTAAACCTTATTTCAACGACGATAAGATATTGAATTTGCCTCAAGTCTTGCCATCGGTATAATTCTACATGTTTAATATAAACTTACCACTTTAATAGGTTCCTGTTTGGCCATCCACTGGTACAAGTCTTCCCTGGCGCGATCATTCTTGATGTTTTCATCGCTGCCGTGCGGCGAGTATAGTGATGGGTTAGACCCTACTGTAGGCAGGTCTTCTTTCAAAGTTCCGTAGTCTACTATTTTTGGGAGTAAGAAGGGAAAATTAGCTGTGTTAATTACATTACAATTCTGAGCTGTTTGTTTTATTACTACAAGTACATATGATACTTTAATTTAAATTGAATTAAACCACATAAATTAGATTCTGTAATGTACTAGTTGGATCTGATCATTCTTTTTATTCGTTTCATAATGTAGTATGTATTAGAAATTGAATGTTAATTTTTTTAAGATTTATCATCATCATCATCATCAGCATTCGGAAGACATTCACTGCTGGATAAGGGCCTCCCCCTTAGTCCTCCACGTCGAACACTCAATCGACGTCGACGTATCTGCATTCTTTGATACTGTTACAAATTACTCACATATTTTCTTCCAACAACACAATATCGATTGTTTTCTATAACATATCACAAAAAACTCAGGAACAAAACTAGCAATGTATCTACTCACTAGCGATGGCGTCGTCATTGAAGACTGGTTTCCTGGTGGAGAATGGCAGTGAAGGGAACACGAGGCTCGCTCGACTGCTTTGGGCTCCCCGCACTGTTCGGGACAAGGGATTAGCACATCACTAGTGTGGGCGGGGCGTTATACGATACAGGGTGGTGCAAGAATGTGAAAAGTGCTTTTGATGATTGGAAAATATTGCTTAGAGAAGAGATGCTATCGTTACAAAGGACTGTTTGTAAATTAGGTTTTATTTTATTGTTATATTTAAAGGAATTATTTTAAAACAATAAAAGCTGTTAAAAGATTACACAAGTCTACATCAATAACTGCTTTTTCATTGCAATAATCATTACCTTCATTATTGTATTATTTAAGTTTGTTATTTATACAAATTAAAAACCTAATTTTTTAATTTCCTTATAATGATAGCATCTTCATAAGCTCTAAAGATGAAAAGGAGATATATTCGATTACGTTTCTAATATTTAATGACACAATAACATAAACCAAACTCTTTGACATTGACATGCGAAGAACGAGAAGAATATATTTTGATGTAAGTTGATATCTTTTTATAATAACTATCGTGAGACATACCAAATTAAGTAAAAACGCGGCGACGTCGCGACCGCTCACGCTGCTCATGAGGAAGAACCCCTCTGTGGTTCGAAACTAGTAGAGCTTTTCTCAGTATATTCACGTGAGTAACCCGCGTTTTTACTTAATTAAGTTGATATCGTAGACAGAGTCAACTGTCTTTCATAGATTGTCTGCAAATCCCGGCCCTCATAAACAAAAATGAACTACTATGGGTTTTGAAGGACTAATATTAGTAATCAACCCTGTGTAATTACTTGTTTGTTAGAACTCGGGAGATTCCAAATATTTCAGTTAGTAAGAGTAGCAAGTTAGATAAATTAATTTATTATTCTGTAAGTAGACTGCCTCATTGGCCGAGTGGTTGCAAGTACGACTGCGGAGCAAGGGGTCTCGATTCCCGGGACGGGCAAACACATACCGGGATTTACAAAAAAAAAAATGGTATATGGCAATAGACTCACCCCCTATTAAATGGGACTCATAACATAAATAGTGAAAAGTTGGTGTTACATTGCCCCTTCCTACCCCATCAGGGATAAAATGCGTGATATTATGTAATATAATTCAGTAACTTCACCTCATTTTAAAATCACTAAAACTTATAAATCTGTCATAAGAGCGTAATAAATGTTAGAAGAATTTCTCGACTACCAACTGAAATATTTGAAATCCTCCGAGTTCTATCAAAAAACTAATTACACAGGGTTGAATACTAATATTATTCCTTGAGAATCCACCGTTTATCATTTTTGTCTGTCAGGGCTGGATTTATTATGGGAGTTCGCCGGTCACCAATTAGGCACTACACATTCGTCGCAATTTCACTAAACAAATTGGTTTCTAAGGTCATCTCAACAATGAATATACTACATAAAACTCTACAGTTGTTGTTAGGTAAGTATTATATTATTTTATTAACCCAATGCAAATAAACGAAGTGCACAATGCGCAATAAATTATAATAGGAAAAGTATGGTAAATAGCGTAAGAATAAACATTCTTATTATAAACTAGCAGCCCGTCCCGGCTTCGCACGGGGTAGACAATTTTCTTTTTTTCAAAATGAAATGTAGACTATGTCAAATTGGAAGAATGTAGCATTCTATTGGTGAAAGAATTTTTTAAATCGGCCCTGTACTTTTTGAGCCTATTCATTACAAACATACAAAAATAGGTACAAATCTTTCCTCTTTATAATATTAGTATAGACTATTTTAAAACATGGTGAGTGAGTGGACTTGGTTTTATTTTATTTTTTTAGGTAGGTATTTCAATTTATTACTCGGCTTCAAAAAAAGAAGGAGGTCTTCTAAATTTGACCTGTAGGCCGTAGTATGTATGTTTGTTTGTGCGCGATAAACTCGCGCTTGGCTGAATCGATTTAGATGTGGTTTTCAGAAAAATGTTTGTTACAATTAAGAGAAGGTAAATGTATGTATATATTTACCAACCGACTTCAAAAAAGTGAGGTTGAATTCGGTTTATAGTTTATAAAAGAATTATTAAAATGTTAAACTCAATAGGAGCAAAACTCGCGCTCGCTAGCGCTAGATTTGTCCACAACAACCTTTCTGCCTACAATAAAAAATATAAATTGCTACAAAAGAAGCATAATTGACAATATTATGATAACATTATTAATTAAGTTTACACATAAACCCTTTGCACTCAGTAATCGTTAATGAAATCCAAACAGTCCATTAAACTTTAATTAAAATATTTGTTCAAGTACTTTATATGAATTAATACGAGGAAAACTGAAACCAAGCTTATCACCAACTCATGTTTTGATAAGGATATCTGGCATTCAACAATAGCTTTGTGTAATTAATTACACAGTATAACCTATTACACCAAGATTACAATCAGATATACTGCACACTTAATTGAAACAGCAGTGCTTGAAGCAGTGATTAATATAAATAGAAATAACTGTTAAAATAATAATAATTACGTATATTAAGCGAGGCAGCATCCAATTGTTTTTATTATACTTAGACATACTGAATTACTTAACTAAAAATCGCGGGTTACTCACGTAAATAGACTTTTTTATAAGGGGGAAAATCATCAAATGACTGCTCCCGCCTGGGTGAGACGGGAGGGAGTGTCAGACTCTTACTGACTAAAAACCACCCCGTTCCTTCTCCTGCGTTTCGAGCCGGAGCCCCGATAACCCGTTAGGTTCTTCGCAACTCCGAATCGACGTAAATAGACTGAGAAAACTAGTCACAGAAGGACTCTTGCTCAAAAGCAGCGTGCGCGGTCGCGGCGATGTCGCGCAGCCTACTCTGAGTGAAGAGTCCCTCTTTGTCCCTTGTAGTATATTTACGTGAATAACTCGTGGTTTTTAGTTAATTCGGCATACCATTATTATAGTAAATATCCTCATAAGCGCATATTCCGGAAATTATTATTATTAAAATAATAAAACACAAGCACAACCCGCTCTGCGAGCGCTCGGCGTGCGGACGTGTGGATACCTACTTACCTGCTGTTGCTAAATAAATATAAAAAAAAAAAATGGTGCAGTGTAAGAAATGTAAACTGTTTTTATCTATGAATAAGGATGATGTGATTAAGTGTAAAGGTTCATGTGAAAGTGTATACCACAAGAAATGTGTAAAGAATTTAAAGCAATTCATGCAAAATGAAACATGCGATGAGTGTCATAAGGCTGGAATTAGAGTAAACTCGCAATCTCCGGTGACTGAAATCGATCCACAGAAAGTTACAGTGGAAACACTACTGCTAGATGTGAACAAGAAGCTTGAGGTAATGTTTAAACTGGAGAAAAAAATTGATGATCTCGTAGAAACTGTAGATTTTTATGCAGAACAGTATCAGCAGATGCTGGAGTTTAAGAAGACTACTGAAAATAAACTAAAGGCACAAGAACAAAGAAATGTCTACCTTGAGAAATGTAATGCCGCTTTAGCAGAAAGGGTTGCAAGCTTGGAGAAGAAAGAAAAAGAGAATAATATAGAAATAGCGTGTGTAGTGAAGAACAACGATGACGAAAACGTATTAGAAGTAGTTAAAAATGTTGCGGATAAACTTAGTCTGAACCCTGAAGATATAGAAACTGCTGAGAGAATGAGCTCACCGAATAAACCAAAGATGGGGGTAGACCGACCGCAGCCTATAGTAATAAAACTGCGTACTAAACAAGCTAGAGACCAATGGCTTCAAAAACGTAAAATACGACTAACAAATGGAGATTTATACCGCAACAACAACAACACACGAATTTATATTAACGAAGACTTGACTAAAGCGACGAGATTACTCTTTTGGGAAACCCGAAATCAGTTAAAACATTTATATAAATATGTTTGGGTACAAAACTCTAACATTCTGATAAAGAAAAGCGAGAATGAAAAAGTTATTCGTATACGAAATGAAAATGATATTAAACAGCTGTGTGATAACAACATCGAGAAGCCATAAAAACACAAATACAAGACAACGAGTACACACTATATGATTTCCAAAAACTGCAACATTCGATCATTCAGACAGTGGAATAGATTCTAGTAACATTCAATATACAAGATACCATGATCTCAGTACCTGGTCCCAACAATTTTCGAATAACGATATAAATATTATACATCTCAACATTCGATCCATACGAAAACAATTTGATGAACTATTGGTATTGCTTAGTGACTGTATACCTAATAAAACATTGAGCGTCATCATTCTCACCGAAGTTAACATAAAAGAAGCGGAAGTAGCGATGTACAAAATCCCTGGATATGTAGTGTGTTCCAAGACTAGAGAAGATAGAAGAGGTGGTGGAATAATGATATATGTTAGAGATGATATGCAATTTAACACGGAAAAATCTCGACCATTAATTCCAACATCAGAATTAATACATGGAAAATTAACACATTGGAATAAAACCATAAATATTTTAGCAATATATCGACCGCCGAGTACAAATAAAACTATTTTCATCACAGAACTGGACACCCTCCTAAAAAGTATCCCATCTACAGAAGAAGTAATATTAATAGGAGATACCAATATCGATATGATATCGGACGGCACAAACACGAACAGTGCGGCCTACAAAATCGTGTTGTGTGACAACGGCCTGCAGAGTGCAATACCTACGTCGGAACCAACGCGTGAGGCGATCGTAAGCGGCCGGGTCGATTCTTCGAATATTGACCATGTGTGCGTGCGAGCGAGTCGGGGCCGGCCATTCGGAGCGCGCTCACACATGCTAACGTGCACCTTATCGGACCACTACATGGTTGGTATTAGTTTGACGCCTCTCAGTAATGTACTGAAAAGTGGAAGTGTTTGTGATGTGCAAAAAGTTTTTAATGAGAAAATGTTAAGTGATAGATTAAAATCAATAGGCTGGTCAGAGTTGATGCAAATAGATTGTCCTGTAAAACTATTTAATAAATTGTATGAGATTTTTCACGATATATATGATGAGTGTAAATTACACAAAAAAAGAAATAAAAAGAGAATTACGCAACCATGGGTTGATAACGAAATAAAAAAAAAATTGGAGCGCAGGGACCAGTTATTCAGAGATTGGAAATATTCGGCTAATAATATGAATAGTAGATTAATTTACACAAAATACAGAAATAAAGTAAATAAACTAATAAATAATGCCAAGAACAAATATAGACAAAAAGAAATAGAAAGGTGTAATAAGGATTTTAGAAAAATTTGGTCAAATATAAACAAATGGATAGGTAACCCTAAAATGAACCTAGATGATGCAATTTTAAAATATTTAGGTCAAAATAATGACGTTCGTGATATTTGTAATAGGTTCTCGGAAACATTTACAGATGAAATACATAAAATAAAGCATAAATGTGATAATAACTTTTTGATTAGAAGTACGTATGTTAATAATAGTGATACGTCATTTTATTTTCAAAAGGTAGGATCTGAGACGGTAGAAAAATACATAAGAAATTTGGATTGTAATAAGGCTCCCGGATTAGATAAAATTAGAGTTCAGGATATTAAACTAGTAAAAGATGAAATAAGTCCAGTGTTAGCAAAATTCATAAACATGTGTGTGAGTGGAGGAATTTACCCAGATTTGTTAAAAAAATCAATAATAAGACCAATATACAAACAAGGCAGTCACACGGATTACAGTAATTATAGACCAGTTGCGATTTTATCTGCGATAAACAAAATAGTAGAAAAAGTAATTGTGAACCAAGTGAGTAGTTACTTAGAGCAACACAATATAATATCAGACGCACAGCATGGGTTTAGGCGAGGGCGCAGCACTACCACCGCGCTTGTGCAATTCACAGACTACGTGAATAACAGCCTCAACCAGGGTAAGTTTGTAGTTGCTTTATTTATTGACTACAAGAAGGCCTTTGACACTCTGGACCATGAAGTACTATTGCGCGCCATGGATGAATGTGGCATCAGAGGTCCGATTAACATATGGTTTCAAAGCTACTTAAAAAATCGAACCTTATGTACAATGGTCAACAAAACATGTGGAGATGAGGTAAGTGTTACTCTTGGGGTGCCAACTGGTTCCGTATATGGACCAGTTGGCTACATAATGCATGTAAATAGTGTCACCAATGTGATAAAATATTGTAAGACCTTTATGTACGCGGATGACATGTGTCTACTGTACTCATCCAACAATATGTCGGAGGCTCAAACCCACATGCAGACAGACTTTGAGAACATAATAAAATGGGCCCATGACAATGGCATCATTTTAAATTTCACGAAGACAAAGGTTATGTGTATAAGCTCGCCGTATAACACCTACATAAGGAATAACAGTATAAACTTACACATAACAGGGCACACATATGATTGTTTACACAATAACAAAGACAGCTGTCGGTGCATGAACATAGACATAGTAGACAAATACCGGTACTTGGGTCTAACAGTGGACAATAATTTTAACTGGAAATTACACGTTATAGATGTATGTAAAAAACTTCAATCAATCCTGGGTAAATTCTTTCATCTAAATAAATTTGTAAGTAGAAAAATATTGTATGTATTGTACTATGCACTCGCAGACTCGTTAATTGGATATGGACTAAGTAGTTACGGACTCACCTTCAAAACTCAACTTGATCACATAAAAGAACTACAGACTAGACTAATGAAATATCTCGTAAGCAAAAAAGTTAGATTGAAATGTAAACCAAATTATGAGAGACTGTACAACATTTGTAAAATACTACCAGTGCATACCAAAGTGGAATATCTTATAGCTATGGAGCAGTACAATACAAGTAAATATAAGGAACCTGTAACACATAGTTATCATACTAGGAAGGCTGCACAGGGTAAATTTGTAATACCAAAGGTTAGAAATTACTATGGGAAAAGGACTAGGCAATATTTGACCCCATTAATTTATAATAAAGTATCTTTCATAAGAAATAATAATGGTAACCTAAGTACATTATCTTTAAAAAAAAGACTAAAGAAGGAATTTTTAAATATGTTAGATACATAAGTATTAAAAAAAAAAGAAAAGTTAATTGTTCTAGACATAAGAAAAAACTAAAGATAATATGTATTCATTAACAGTATAGTATTTATATAGATTAATAGTAGTTATAAGTAACTTTATTGTATAATATAAGAGCGCCACTATCGCCAACAAACTGTTATACAGTTTGGCGATTTTTGATGTATTAGCTAATTTATGTATATTTTTTTGTGAATAAATATGTTAAAAAAAAAAAAGCATAAACATAGCGAGGAGAACACAACCAAAATACATAGATAGGTAACGAACATAATTAGTTTTGGAAATCATAGTGTTAGGAAGTCAGGTACTTGTGACTGAGGTGTTTCGAATATTCAAACGATACTTTTTGGTTGTAAAGAGTTTTTCCAAAATTAATCAATTATGTAATAATCCTTTTAGGTTCTCAATTATCCAGTTCATATTTTTGTTTTCCGTGAAACTAAAGTAGCTCAATACACTAGAAGAAACCAGTTACAAAAGCTAGGCCAAGGGCTTCAGCTGGGGAGTCAAGGGTACAGCAGAAAGAGGTACATAATGTCCACCTTAGTAAGCGGACGTAGCTTAATTAAGTGTGGGAGAGCCATACTTCGGTAAGAATGGGCCGGCTCGACCGGACTGATACTACGGCCGAGAGGAGAATCGAAGTGAAACAACGCTAGCGTTGTGTTTCGTGATGTGGGTGAGGTTCCAAACAATCCTCAAATTACTTATCCCCGAAAGGGCAGTAACGCACTTGTAACAGCACCGGCGTTGCGAATGTCCATGGGCAGCGGCGATAGCTTACCATCAGATGATCTTTCTGCTCGTTTACCGGTTTATACCATAAAAAAGGAAGAAGTATATTTCGGCAATAACGCGAAGGTTAAAGTAACGTCTAAATATCCGACTCAAAACAGTACAAATAAGGAAGATTGTCATCTAAAGTTAAACAATAAGGATGAAACATCAAGTTACAGAAGGAAGGGTCACACGAGTTACATTCACTCCATGCTGTCAACGACGAACAGACAAACAGACAAGACAACAAACGCATAACGCTGTGAAGTCGTTTGTATTTCAGTTACTGTGCAATCGAAATAACACCTTATTTGGTGGAGAGTAAGGTATTGTTTTGTATCACTGATTTGTTTGGCCATGGTTAATCTAATTAACGTTTGTGACGAACCAAAAGGGTCTTCTTTGTAAGGGTATTAAGAAGTATTATAATTTTAATCTTGAATTTTAAGTTAATCATTTTGAAACAAGGATATAACAAACGACCTCTATTTATGGGACTTGTCGACCATACCATATTAAGTACTAACAGATAAAAATTAAACTCAAACATTACTCTACAGTACAAATTGGATTAAAACCAATTAAGAGTAACATTTAAGCCTCGCCGACAAGAGATTATTCAATCAAAATGGAACCTTATTGCTGAGTATTGGTTAATGGATAAGTGACTTTATTATGAAAGTAATAAGGTCGACAAGTCCGAAGCAGCAGCGAGTGTGAGTGTACGAACCGGAGGGCGGCGTGGAGGGGAAGGAGTGCGGGCGCGGGCTAGCCGCCGCGCCGCCCGCTTCACCCAGACAGGAACGTCATTAGTGGACTTATATATTGTACTATGTACTCTATATACTATGCATATATAGCTTTGGTTAGTGTATCTTTTGTTTTACGGATTATAATCATTGAAGATCGTGGTTATGAGCCCCGATTGTGGCTCTAAACTAGTCGAGAATTTTACCACCTTACGGGACATGAATACAAATCCGTAGTTTTGGGCTCAGTAATAAATTTAGCAATTAAATTTTATTTCTCAAGACTTATTTATTTGGCAATCATTCATAACAGTTAACTGCGCATACGCAACGCTATCGAAACCTGACGATGAACTCGTGTGAATAAGGTAAAAAAGTTTGAAAACAATTATAATCCGTAAAACCTTTTAACTCGATCGTTTAAATAATAATAAAAATACATAATATATTTCAAAATTAAATTGCAAAGTACTGTGAATTTAGCTGTATTTATACTTCACTGTGATAATAAATTAAATAAATTGAAATCTAAAAAAATCTTTGTAAAAAAAGCAATAAGTACCATATTTGCTTAATTTCCTATCAGATCAAACTTCAAAGATCAGTTTTATACAGTACTTATCAACTACAAATCAACTCTTCTTTGAAATTACCTTAACGTCTTGAACTTAAGGTGTATTTTACTGTGTATATAAATTAATAAATGTAATTTAATATTTAAATACAGGGTGAACTCACCAGGAACGTTGGCTTTATCGACATCCATGTTGAGTAGGAGACAGTTCTCATCCAACGCTTCAGTCTCCAAAGGATACTCTTGCCAACCTTCGACTGAGTCCTGAAATAAGGATCATTGGCACTATTGTATACTATTATTGTACACTATTCACTGGCATACTATTGTATAAGATTAAAATATTAATAACTTCAATGCTTCTACTTGATTTTGTACTAGAATTCTGTCTCGATAGTGTGGTTACAAGCGCGATTGCGGTGTTCAAAACCTAATTTCGGTTGCAGACACGAGTATTTTCGATTTTCGATTTTGATCTCGCAGTCACATTGTCGAGATGTGGTTTTTGGCAAGTTCTCCCATTATAACAACATCTATCTACATAAATATAAATGAAATTCCGTTCGTTGGTCTCGCTAAAACTGGAGAACAGCTAAACGGCAAGCTTTTCAAGTGTGGGAGAGCCATGCTTCGGCACGAATGGGCCGGCTCGACCGGAGTGATACCACGGCCTCACAGAAAACCGACGTGAAGCAACGCTTGCGTTGTGTTTCTTCTTGTGAGTGAGGTTACCGGAGGTCCAATTACCCTCCCCTTCCCCAATCTCCCCAATTCCTGAATCCCCAACGATCCTCAAACTCCTAATCCCCAAAAGGCCGGTAACGCACTTGTAACGCCTCTGGTGTTCCAGGTGTCCATGCCGATTGCTTACCATCAGTTGATCCGTCTGCTCGTTTACCGGCTTATGCCATAAAAAAAAAATAACGGATTTGACTAATTTCGGTGTTGAAACGTTCGTCGAGTTCAAAGTAAGGGAATACGAAGTTTTCCAGGTGAACTAGTAAATAATACCATAACTGTTGAAAATTGGGTGCCTATTATTAAACTTCTTCATACCTAAGAAGTGCAAAATTATATTTACAAGTTGACAATTTACATACATACATAGTTGATGACACGTTACTCACAATTTCAAATAAACTACTGAAAGATTTGAAGTAACCGATGACAAGTCTAAACTACTAGCAAAATGACGATGAAATGAATGACAACAATTAGTTAATATAACTTTCTAAATGAACTGGACCCCAACCCACACAAAGCTATGTGACGCAAAGCAGTAGACCCCGCATGACCCACGACAGACCCCGGATAGACCCCAGCCCCTCACCTCTAGTAGATCAGGTAAAGCGAAGGTAACATTAAGTGGCTTCATCACTTTGCTCTTATAGTTATGTTCCAGTAACAACGGCGTGTACAGTATGTTCTTCCATTGGCGACTCAGCACTATGACACCCTGGAAGAAAACGACAATTAGTTCAATCATATACATAACATCACGCCTTTTATCCCCTAAGAGGTAGGCAGAGGTGCACATTACGGCACGTAATGCCACTGTACAATGTAACACCCACTTTTCACTATTTTTGTTATGAGTCCCAAGCAATATGGGGTGAGCCTATTGCCGTATACCGGGCACAATTCCAGACACCGTGCTACTACTGAGATTTTTTTTAAAAATACAGAAATCATTGCCTTACCCGAGAATCGAACCCGAGACTAATTGGCCGGCAGTTGCACTTGCGATCATTCGGCTAACGACGCAGTTTAATCATAACATGAGGTAGTTTAATCATAACAAGGTGATAAATCTGAGGATTTATCATGGCTTGAAACATAAAAGATCAGTTCAATTTTAGATAAATATAAATAACCTATCATGTACTTCCATAGACAGATCATAAAATAATTTTAAAGCAGAAGTGTTATTTTGATTTACTGACAATTATTCTATATTTTTTGACATCAACAAAACATAAACACATTGATTACTTTGAATAACTTCAAAAACATACTCATTATCATTTTATACCTGTCTCAAAGTGGACAACGACGGTAGATGTCGTTCAGCCAGGTCAGCCTGCACGGCGGCCGCGTCGGCTTGCAGCGCGTACCGCAGCAGTACGGCGCATAGTTGCAGGGACGGCTCCTCGCGCAACTGTTTGGCCATCGGCGTGTGGCGGCCGTAGCGACTCTGGTAAGTAGGTAACTATACTATAATATGCTAGGAAATTATATTTTGTGACAGATTAACCAGTGTGGGAGAGCCATGCTTCGGCACGAATGGGCTGGCTCGACCGGAGTGATACCACGGCTTCACAGAAAACCGACGTGAAACAACGCTTGCGTTGTGTTTCGTCGTGTGAGTGAGGTTACCGGAGGCCTAATTACCCTCCCCTTCCCCAATCAGTCTGGATTCAGATCCCCAACGATCCTCAAACTCCTAATCCCCAAAAGGCCGGTAACGCACTTGTAACGCCTCTGGTGTTCCAGGTATCCATGAGCGACGCCGATTGCTTACCATCAGGTGATCCGTCTGTTCGTTTACCGGCTAATGCCATAAAAAAATCACTATTTAAGGGTCTTAAATCCTAGTGGTTTAGAATTTAGGCATAAGAAATAATTAAGAAACTTAAGAACGTAGAAGTTTACGATAAAATAGAACAATTGGTCATATGATTACCTATATATGAAATTAATAACTTAACATTCAAGAAAAGATAGCACTGATCATAGAGACAACCTGATCCATAATAACAAACCTTGGGCAGTGTATGATGGGGAGCAAGGTCCAGTGCCGCAGCCATGAGACTGGCCGCCGTGGCAGTCAGTCGCCGGGCGTACGCGCGGTACAGGGCCACCACGCGGATACCCAGCCGGTTGCACGGGTTCATCCACGCGTTGATTGCTGGGGACGCTGTACTCAACAGGTTCCAGTCCAGTCTGGAATTAAGTTGATTATTAGCATTTGGTTAGGTAAAGTATAATTCGTTTTTTTTATTTCAAAATTTATAAAGAGGTAAGTGTGGAAATGTGCTAGGAATAGATTTGCTCGCCGACAACTATGAAGATTCTCAAAATCACCGTCCGCAAATTAAGCAAGAAAGCGTTCAAGGGATAAAATATCTACAAATAACAATAATTCGTGCACTTTAGACAAAGGATGGATTAGCAGATGTACTCTACCGTGTATAGTCAATCTTCTTCGTGATAGGAGTCCTCGGTGGAGCGGCGAAATTAAACCAAACCACCTTCAAGTCGATAGCACACGATGAAGTATTCCCATTGTCCTTGAGAGGCACCACAGTAGCTGTACTGTCGTTGTTCGACGGTTCATCAGGCCCTGGTGTTGAAGGTTCGGGAGGAGGTGGAACTGGAGGCGGTTGGGCAGTTCCAAGGTTAGGAGTGCTAGGCTTAGAACTAGAATCCCTCTTTCTGAACAGATCTTCAATCCCTGAGGTCCTACTTTTAGTACTCCTGTCTTTATCAGGTTTCGACTCTTCAGCAGACTTGACAGACTCTCGACAGCTCTCGTTGTCTGGTCTCAGTGGCTTCTTCTCCTCAGCTTGTGCCTGCGGCTTGTGTGATTGCGAGTGTTTCGACACTTTTATCGAGATGCCTTCAAGACCACATTCGAACATAATGAAGCCTATAGGATTATCTTTCTGACCCTCAGCTGCAGTTCCATTTTGGCAACACTGAGAAAATACAACACTTTCAATATTGAACCATAATATTACAAATACAAGATTCAAATGGTAGTGAGTAATACTTACCATGGACTCGCATCCTTTAGCACAGGAATCAACTCGAATGAACTTGAAGGATACCTTGGAATGTTGGCACGGTATGCCAGTGATCGTTACGTCTTTTAGTTGCGAAGATTCGTTGCGAATGCGGCGAAGTTGACCGTGGACTTTGCCTATAAACACAAAGCGGTTAATATATTAAACATGAAATTATCCTAGATTATTATGAAAAAATATTTCTGCGGTTACTTACCAACATTCAAAGTAATGGTGGTATCTTCACACTGCTGCTGTGAAGCCTCAATGTAAACTGGCTCGCCTCTCTCTGGCCCCCGTCTCTTTCCAGAAGTCTGTGCGGATATCAAGGCACGAGGTCCCTTCATTATACCAAAGGACTTCTTACTTCCCAAAGCCCTTAGAGTCGGTCTGTAGTACAACTGCACAGACTCCAGGTTCTTCCTCGTACTGACATATTTCGCGATAATGTTCTCAACAGATACTCCAAACAATGATACGCAGGTCAAGTCTTGTATGTTGTCTAAAGCTGAGAAGGATATCATGTCCTCCACCACCGAAGACTGTATGAATATCATGTTTACCTTCGGAATGGTCACCGTCGCTTGTAAGGACTCACAAATACTCTCTTCATACACATTGGAATGAGGTATCGTTGCTAATTTGCATTTGTCGTCCTTATCTGATACCAAGTTCGACTGGCTGCGGTCCTGCATCTGTGGGAGCCAATTCTGGACATACTGCTTTTGTTTCAGCACGTTAGCACTGGACACAGTTGATATGCAAAGTAGACGCAAGTGGTTTATCACAGTTATAGGGTGTATATTCGCTAACACTGGTGTGAGAGACTCGACGAATTTTTGCGTACTTTCCAGGACTAGAGGTGTCAACATGATATCGATCTCACCTCGAAGTTTCACAAACAAACCGCTCTTGGAGTCGCTTGTCGTAGTGACTGTTGACGTAGTACTCTTCTCCGTCGTGTTCTCTTGACTGTCTTGCACAGTTTGCTGCACGTCCCACCATCCTTGAGGATAAGGATGTGCTTTCACTTGCGAATTAAAATGTGGAGGCAAGTTAGAGTATGGTCCATGCTGATTTTGATTATTATGATCTTTCTTTGATACCAATCTGAGGATGTTAATTTTTCCAAGCGGTTCAAAACTTGGCAGATATTTTTGTCCGACGTACACCAACGTACCGTCATCAGCCCTTTTAAATAAAGGCAACGTGAACACATCACTCCCACTAGGTAAGGAGCACGTGCCCCAGTTGGAACACTTGTATTGAGGCAAGTTATGCATGTAACTGGCCATTAAGAGAGGAGAATCTACTATGGGCTTGTTTGTCTGCATGTGAAGATTAACCAGCGTCATATCTTCTTGTGAAGAGATTGCGGAAATGAAGGATGTTGATGATACGGACCCACTTTCTGAGTCTGGTTGGACGCCAGTGCTCAAATTGCTTATCGTATCTGGAATGTCTACTGGCTCCGATTTAGGCGCGGACCACTTTTCGTTAGATATGTCGTTGATGCCGAACGAACTTTTATCTCTGGGATTACTGTGGCGACTGCCAAATGAATGCTTCAAACTTGAGGATCGACTCGGGAACATGTCCTCATCAGCGGAGAAGAAAGCTTCGGAATGATTCTCGCTTGTTATAGACATAGTTCTCTGCACTTCTTGAGGAAGTGTATCTTCGGGTGGTACTTGCGAATTCAAGGAGTAGTGTGACTCCGACACTGCTACATTCCTCATTGGTACTTTTGGTACTGCAAACGTTTCACCTTCTGTCGGAATCGGTTTCTTGGCGTCTTTGACTCCACAGCTGAGCGCCAATTTAGAATCAGAGACACTACTCTCCATCTGAGGAACGTTCAATATACTCTTGTTGAGTTTTGAATCGCTGTCAATCTTAGTGCTACCCAGTGGCACCGAAGAATCCACTAAGCGAGCGTAGGGTACATCACTTTTCGTGCTGGAGACCAAGAGGTTGTTGCTTCCTTTGCTCATACTTGTGTATGAGAACCTTCTAGTAAGGCTGCGACGTTCAGTACTTTGAGGAGACTTATTTAAGCTCTGTGGCAGTGGAGATGGTATTAATGTTGCCACGTTGGTTGGCTGGAGACAGACGTTTAAACTATTATACGGTGGTGTATGGAACACAAGCTGTCCAGAGTGTAATAAGCTCTGTCCGTATCCGTACTCTCCTGGCGTCGTTTCTATGATATTAAACATGGCCACGTTAATACCGTCGTTTAGGTCGTTGGGATTTGGCTTCAAGAAGTTAGGTCCATTTCTATTGGAACCAAAGAACGCGCAGCCACCGGTACAACCACACTGAGAACTCTTTCCTTCAACAGGCCATAAGAACCAAAGCCTTTTTGTTTTATCATCGTGTAATTTTAAGAACTTCTGTTGAACTAAGTGGAGATTTTTTGGTGTTTGTGGCAGTGACGAGGCGGCTTCTATCAAGAGAGGACCTAAAGCAACCGAACCAACTCCAACCCAGTTGTCACTTTCGGGCGGTTTGTTCTGGCTATTGTTGCTTCCGTTAGAATGATGATGAGTATTTGTTTGCATGTTAGTTTGTGTGTAGAGAGCTAATTTTATATTTGGCAATAAACCAGTAACACCAGTGCCGAAACCGGAGCCGTGTAAATTACAAAAGCTGAGTCTGACGGGTGATATCCATGTCTGTAGTGTGGTGTTCGAATCTGCGATGTAAATGTCAATGAGATCAATCGCAACTCGTATCATCTTGTATTTTATTTCGTTCGCCGTTGGGCATCTGTATTTTAAAGTGAGGTCTGTTTCCTGACACATTACATTGTTTACTCCGTGGTGGCATTGTTTAGCTGGATTAGGCGGAACTAATTCGTTTTCGCTATCACAAATAAGTAGCAAGAATGTTTCTAAGGAAGATATGATTTGGTACAATTGGGGCAATGTGAGACGCCCGGTTAACTGACCGAGTTGAAGCTCCATCATCCAGGCGTACTCCACAGTATCTTCTTCAACATTTCTGTTCGTGTCACTGAAGAAACCATTCCCTCGAAGTTGGAAAGAAGAGAGCATCAAGTGACCTTGATACAAGGCCCCTGAATTCATTGGGTTCGATCTCGATAAGTTATTTGCAGATACTAATATTGAAGGACTCAATAGTAATTGTAATTTGGTCTCCCTAAAGCTTTTGTCCATTTCAAATCCAAATCGTTCGATCAGAATGACTGGACACGGCGGCTCACTTTCACTGCAATTTTTAACTAAATGCGCTTGAATGTCGTGGATTATAATAGATACAGTCACATCCAAGGGTCTGTAGTGTCGGGGGTCAAAGGGACCTTTACTCGAGTCGGTAGAGTCATCTATAGATATCTCATTATGTTGATTGACACTACTTTTGTCATTCATTTTTGCATTTTCACTGGACCAGTAAAAAGTTTCCACGTTTGGAGATTTCTGCATGTCAGTAAATGTTTGGTCTTCGCCAAATATGTTTTCTAGTAAATTCATAAAACTAGTAATAATAGTTCCATAGGCCAGTAGGATAGAAGGTCCCACTTCTAGTTCTACGCTTACTTTATCAGGGGGTAATGTCGTTCTATCGAAATTATTTCCATCTAATGCCCAGTTGATTTGAGGTTGTTTTCTCATCCTGGGTATTCTCATTGGCGATAGTAATATTTCTTCTTTTTCTGGTGTTGTTATGTCAGCCTGAGGTTCAGGGCCAAGTGGAGGAATGGGGTGGTAATTATATCTAACGCTCAGAGCGACAATAGGAACAGACCAACAATCCACCCAACCTTGCGACTTAACGCATTTTCTTCTCCATTTGGAGGCTTTTAACCTACAGGGTACTAACTTCATATTTTTATCAAGAGATAGAAGTAATAACTTCGATGTGTTTACTTCGGGCAGGTAGAGACTCATGTCGACAGCTTCACCTTGGACCCAGATCTTCAGTGGTATCACATCGGGCAAGAAATCGACAAACGGCAGATCAAAGGAGACGTCGAGTAGATCTCCACAGAATGCCACGTGATTATTCTCCTGATTCGTAGAACTGCAGTCTATCCAGTTGTATTGGTTGCTCACTGTCACTACCTCACACTCTTTGAGTAGCAGGGATATTTTCCAGGTGTAAGGTACAAAGTGTAAAATGTCGGGACGAGCTTTTGTCGACCAATCGTTTATGAGATCTTGAAAGAAGTCTATGTGTGTGTAAACTAGATGTGTCGTAGCTTTACAACCAGTCAGACTTAACTGCCAACACTGGTGATGGTTCCACACGAGGGGATAGTGGCACTTGACTGTGTACTCTAAAGTTTCACTTTCAGCCAAACTTCTGTATTGCAAACTTGTTGTCGCCTCTAAATGTAACAGTTGCCCTGTAATTTTTGTCGTGTACCCGTCTTGTAACACGATCCAGGGGAGTGTTACTTCGAGGTATGAACCCGCGCCAATATTTATATGCACAGCATTCGTTTCTTTATTTTTTGTGAATAAAATATCAATAGTGGCTTCATTTAAAGTAGACAGTCTTATGTCAAACGATTGCGTTTGTCTAATATCACCAGGCTTTGGCTGTGGAGTTACCTCTAAGTTTTTATAGTTCGGTGGGAAGAAGAATTTGAAAAGATGGTCTCTTTGTCGGTCAGCCCAGGGGCCATAGCTGAAGTCTGTACCTTTACCACATTTGATATCGACGCCCCATATTGGTGGCGCTGACTCTACAATGTCTCCATTGGCTAACTGCAGTAGTACTGGTTGTTCTGGCACTAGACCTGGTTCGTCCATGTAGAAGTACACTTCGATATAATTGGAGCTCATTACTACGAACCCTTCTCCCATGTACCGCGGCGGTTCGTCAACCATCGATGTATAGTTAGGACTGGGAGCGAGCATCACTTTGCAGTTTTCTGCTTTGGCTTTAACGAAATGCATAAGGTGGTCGAGGCTGGAGGCGGGGGGCTTTGTACTGTATACTAAGTGGGACTCTTCCACGCTTATCGACAATGTTGTGGGGACTAATCTATTTCCGAAAACTACTCTTCCAGAGCAGATATCGATTTTTATGACAGGGATGAGGTCTCGCCAAGTGCGAGCCATGGCTGCCTCGGAACGGACAGTCTCCTGCGCCCGGCGTCGCTTCTCGTTGGCATCGTTCATAGCTTTGTCTCTGTCTGTGTAGTCGTCATCATTCTGTTGCTTTATAACTGGCTCAAGACCGAACAGTTTTTCGAGTTCATTGTAAAGGTCGCAGCGGTTATAGAAGTGTAACTCGAATCCGTTTAGCATAATTGACAGCCGAGTGTCGGAGTGTGACAAGTCTGCGAATTAACAAAACAGAGTAGTATTATATAGTATAAGTAACTGCCATTTTTTTTAACTTTACCCCACACTAGTATTTTCTCCTATGTCGTGAGTGCATTTACAAACATACAATATCACATACACATAACTCCCAGACAATAACAACAATTTGTGGATCACACAAAGAGTGGCTCCGTGCGGGAATCGAACCCACTATACGTTGCGCAGCAGCCGGTTGCTCGGCCACCGCACTAACGGTGCAATCATATAGCGAGAATATGGTGAATTTTTAAAAAGTCTTTAGGCGACTATTTGTCGAAGTTTTTACATAATGACAGTTACAGAATATATCACAGCAAATAGATGCCATTTTCCTGTAGTTCAAGGATATTTTAATATAAATGTCAACAACAGTAACCTATAATTATTCCATGAGTACCTACAGTAACTGAGTCACAATAGTTAAACAATGTTTTTATACTAATCCCATTAGATAAATTGTGTTGCTAATTCGGTGAAACCTTTAAAGGATACATTAGGTATTGTTACTAAAATTATAACCATGTAAATAGTGAACAGTAGGGGTTAAAACCACAAATATCTTCGTGTACTTTATTTTATTGCAAAATATCATTGGTACTTTTCTTTTATGTTCTAGGTTTATTATTGTGCTTATATAAACAGAAACTCTATATACAGATGAGAGATTCTATAATAAAAAAATGGATAATGACTACCATTATAGTATAATAAATTATGACTTAATACCACAAGACAGCCAGACTTAAAAAGTACATATTGATTAATATCTTACCTTCTGACACATCCTTCGGCACGTAAGACCGCCACCATCGGAATATCAAGTAGCCATCTTGTATTCGCAGTGTGTAGTCATAGTTGATGTACACTATGTCTCTAAACATTATCTTACCCGACAGAGCATTTAGTGTGAAGGAACCTGAAAATTAAAAAAAGATTTCATAAAGGTATAAGTCAAGAAATTTACTGGTCGTAGCATTTAAAAAGAAATTATTTATTGTTGTGTTGCATTATCCTAATGTCTATTTGATTTATTACTGAGAAACTTCATAAACTCCGTGTTGGAAAAACCAATTGTGCTTTTATTGCACTTATTTTTTTTATGATACCATAAATCATACAAAACAATACACTACGAAAGTACTTTCATAGTATTATAGTTATAAACGCGATATGCTCTATTTCATATGAATAAATGACTATAATTTAGTACAGTATTATATAGTACAGTTCTGGTTAGATTAGTCTTAAAAACCATGTACAGGACAGGATTATGAGGAAATTAAATGAGTAGGTAGCATAATAATTTTAGCATAAAAGTCCTGCAGTTATCCTGCCCAGTACTAAGCTAAGACATACATACATTACACGGCTAATGTACAGTTGTGTGTAACCACTGCATTCGTTAATACTTTATCAGTAGAATACCACAATTTTAATGCTACAGTCCACAATCAGTTTCCAAATATACATATGTACATACTTTCTGCAGTTATGTTTGTTCAAACTAATATTTGTATGTTATACTGATAACTAAGCTATTGTTTTAATAACTCTTAATTTCCGCTTCATTGAATATTTAGGACTATAAATTATAATTTCCTGATCTGTGATAATGAATACATGTCCTTTTTCATGATTTAAAACAAATGTATGCTTATATTCTACAGTACATATACATAAACTAGAGAGTATTGTGAATGGTAGGGGAAAAGAATATAAACTATTATTCTTATTAGCAATAATAATCTCTCTTCTTATTAGAATTAGCAATAATTCCATAATAACTGACATCATCATTAATCATAACACACATAAACAATCTTTTCATTTATTATATTTTTTTTATTGTTTAAGAAGGAATTGTTTATTAATTTTAATCTGTGTCTCCCCAATAAACCAAATAAAGAATGAGTGTTCGGTACATTCATGTATGATTTTTTTTTAAATACAAGTTGATACAAGTATTTATTTTCAGACGATCATTACTCATTTCACTTAAATTTTGCATAATCATTTAAATTGTTATCTCTCTGATTATCAGCTAGCCATTAAATACTGATTTGTTTGCAAATAGCATTTCAATGTCACATACAAATGTATAAAATAAAAAATGACATTGAAATAAGTATCTGAAAGGTATTAACCTAAAAAATAGTGTCATAAAATGAACAGCATAATATATTTGACTGCTATTTCAAATAAAGAGAAATGTCTTTATTATACTGAGGTACCTACACTTATAACAACAATAAATACATGAGTCTACAGCAACTAATAAGACCGACCTAGAAATCAAATATGATTTGTTCATGAACATGAACTGAGGAATATAAATAAATGGGTCACTCACCTATTTTAAAATTGTCGTCTTGGAAATAGAACTTGTTAATGAGCCTGGTCAGGATGTAGCCCAGCACTCGGCTGTTGTAGTACGTTATATAAACGATCCATAGTATCGCAGATATAAGCGACACCAGCAGCAGGGCAAAGTTTCTGTCCATTGTTATTTCTGCGAAGTCTATCGATGAAGAATTCCATCTTTGCGCCACCGGATCGTCCATAGACCCGGTAAAGTTATCCCTGAACACAATAATAACACGTAAAAACACTCAAACAATAATAAAATCATCCTAAATAACTTTATACACGAATATAAACATCACTTCACTACAAGGCTACGCAAATCGTCATAACTTACATGATGGTGACTTAATTACTATAATGACGCTTTTCACATTTTATACAAGTACACTGCCCTAGAAAATCGTACACTATACACATTTCTAATACTATTTTTCTGTCTTTCTTATCAAAATCATAAATCACTGCCCATCCGTGGTTCAGAATTTGACAGATAGATATGATTGCTTGCGTTCCGTTTCATCAAAACTTCTCTTCGTTTGAAGTACGTTTCTACTTACAAACACATAAAAAATAAATTCATATTTATTTCACAGTTACTAATTAAATTCAAAAAAATATTTGTATTTAATGAAAATAATATAAGTTTATATAACGATTATTACAAACAATGACAATGATTCAAAAACAACGTGAAACTGTGTAAAACACAGTAAACCCTATACATTTTTGTTGCTAAGATACAACAATTTGTTATATTTATAGATGAAATATTTTAGGCAAAGTATAAAAAAGAAGGTATTGTAATTATTTACAATAATTACAGGTTTACAGAATGACTGACGAACAACCTGAAGATCCTAATGCTTATGAACCAAAAGTAAGGTAAGATACTTAATAGTTCCAATTCCAATTTCTAAATAATGAGCTGCTTCTAATCTAGACTTATTAGTTTTTTGTTTAGTTGATATTTTAAAAAATATTTAAAGAGGCCATTTAGAAACGTATGTATTTAATACAAAACGCCTCTTTTAAAACATTAATAGGTATGGTTAAAGGTAATTTGTGCAAATGTAACGGAACGTAAAAAGGGAACTGAATGAATAAGAGGCCCTTTGTGAGTCATTCATAAAATACCTACAGTATAAACGATTCCCATCAATGAAACAGACGTTTAACGCTTCTTTTGTGAAAGGTTATAATATAAATTAGGTTTCTATTTCGAAATAAAAGCCATCCCTTAATCCTGGCACCGTTAACTGGGTTAGCGCGTACTTTCCAAAATACCTACCTTGTAGTAGGTATCTAGGTAGTACCTACGTAGGTACTTTGTCAGACCGGGAAATCAAACTCTCTCATTTACAAATGCACTTTTGTATTATGCTATATTTTTTTATCTTCATTCTTCTTCTTTAAACTTCTTTTGCCAAACTTCCGTCGTTGCCATTATTTATTTGAGTTAAGTACCTACCTACGTAGGTATTTGTTATAAGTAGGAACTTACCTACCTGACTTCCAATGATAAGCGTAACAGGTTCTTAACTTCTCAGATGACTTAGATACCTTCTCATACTATGATTTCCAGGTGGGTCAACCCACAACGGCTGGACTTAATGACGTTCATCGGCAAGGATGTGTTCGTGGTGGCCCACGACATATACATTATTCTATTCAATTATAAGACCAACACCGAGATGATCTATGTGGCAAACAACCAGGAGAAAGGAGATGGAGTCGACGTATTGGGTGGTATGTAGTCAAGTAAATGATCTAGGCTTTGCGAAGGTGATTTCCAGAGATTCAAAAAGGGCAGCAACCCTCGCGTTGATTACCATCAGGTGAACCATCTGTTAATTTGTTCCCAAGAGTCCAATGAAATAATGAAGAAATGAGCTTGAGAGTATTAGTACCTACCTAGATTTATTTAACCTACCCATAGATTTTAAAATAGGTTCACGTTCACGGCATAGCATTATAGTGCTTATGTTTCATTGGCCCATACACCGATGTACCTACTTGTCTGACGAAACGCTGATGGTAGAAAATGTACCTACATTATTTACCTGCATTGGTAACTTTTCAGGTCACCGCTCTTACATGTTCGCTTTCGCGGAGAAGGTGCGGTACCCTAGGATATTTATCATCTCGTATCCATCACTCACTACCGTTGTAGAAATAAAAGGTGAGCCCTAACATTAGGACCTTATACTACTAGAAGTAAGTTCGATTTAGAAAATAATACTTATTTTACTAATTTACAACTAATCAACTTAATATGCTCTTTGTCTGGGTTTATTCTTGTTATTAGACATGGATGTAAATAGATACAAAGGTATCTGCATGATGGAAAGTGACCTGGTTGCCACGTTCACTGGTTTCCCCAACTATCTGGTGACTGTATGGTGTTGGCGCACCAATCAACGTCTGCTCAGTATACCGACAGGAGTCTTCAGGCGCAAGCAGATGTTCATGTGAGTATGTGGAAGAGGTTCACTGAAAAGACAACGTGGAGCAACTAAGAACTGATTGAATCGTCAAAGAATCGAGCCACAAGAAACTCGATAATTATATTTATTTTATAAGTATGTACTTATTAAGTAAGCAGGTACACCTTTATTTTTATAATAATTATCGTGAGACATACTAAAACTAAAAATCGCGAGTTAGTCGCGTGAATATACTGAGAAAAGCTCTACTAGTTTCGAACCACAGAGGGGTTCTTCCTTATGAGCAGCGTGCGCGGTCGTCATGTCAAGTCAGTAGGCTGCGCGACATCGCCGCTTTAGTTTTCAGGTACACCTTGTTCATTTACCAGGTGTAGGTAGGTATCAGCTTCAGATTAAATACTTACATTAAATACCTACACTAACAATTGGCCAAATATTAATATGGATTTCCACTAAGTAAAGGCTGATTCTATTCTATATACTTACACTTGCTTATTGTAAACCAGGGCCAGCCGTACACATATGCTGCTATGCCAATGCTGGGGAGAAGGCGTGCACGTATGGGAGGTAGCCCGATGCTATAAGAAGTGCTTCATGTTAAAGAGGAAGATTGTGGCGGTTTCTGGCTGGGACGCCGCGGACCAACCACTGATTGCTGGCATCTGTTGGAGCGTCGAGGGCCAGCTGTACTCCATCGATTGTAAAGCTAACTTATATGGTGTCAGTATTTATTGTAACAGTAGGTACTTTTAAATAAGTTGAGGAGTATCCAGATTGGCAGGTTTGGAACACATTAGAGACGTTCAGCAGTGGACATATTTTGGCTAATATTGGGTAGGTATAATGAAACCACTTCCATAAGGATTTCAGTAGGATACATATCCTACTTACTTAGTCACGAACCCATTTACGTACCAAAGTAAACACTTTATACAAATATCTAACTCTTCTATCTTATTCTTACAGCTGTCGTCTGATGGTGTAGCACTAGTAAGAACCTTAGAATGGACAGACGACAAAATTGAAGGGAACCGTCAAACCAATATTTGCGCATTTCTAAATGGTTTACTTTTTTATGGGCCCGACGATAACTTAAGGGTAAGCAACCTTTAAAATAGAACTTACTTCTACTACTTCTACTCAGTGGCACTACTTTTAAACTTCGAGGATTAGAAAAAGATCTTTACTCGCTAGTGCGAGTAGTGCTAGTAGCAGGAACCCTAAGTCCCACAAAATTCATCTGGTGTTGCGGGTGACTAATCGCTTACCATCAGGCTGATTCGTCTGCTCATTTGCCTCCTATTCCATAAAAAGTACAATGTTTGTAGTACGTACCTACAGTTAAATAAACTATTTTCCAATGTTTCCAAATTATCGAGTTTTTCATCAGTTTCTTCGGAAAGAAGTGGAGGGGAAGTCGTGGAAGGTTGAATGGACGTATGCTCCAATCGACGTAGTAGTTCGTCTGGTGAGCAATGCATTCTGCGATATGGTGACCATGTGGACTAGAAGCGGCTTCGTGTATAAAATCACCGCAGACGCTGATGACAAAATTGAAGTTAACTTGTTCACTGTTAAACAAAGGTAGGGATCTTATTTTTAACCGAATGTTGATTAGCATGGTTTAGATGAGATTATAATTCCCGTTATTAAAAAAATATGTATTGTAAATCTAAACACTGATAGCCCAAGCTATTCTATTCCAAATATTTTATTATTTTAAGGAACATTAAGAAGGTTCAGCTGATTGCACCTGATTTCAAGCATTTGGCCATGATGAATGATAATGCCATTATAAGCATATACGAAGTGAATGAAGAGAAATTGGTAAGGAAAGAAACTTCTTTTTTAAACACGCTCCTTTTTCCACCATGCGTAATTGGGTTAAGAGCTCTTAATTATTTTAAAATTAGCGGTATTTTTTTGGATAGGTTACTTTGGCCAGACTATAAAAAGTGACTTTAAACCAATGTAAAGGTGGATCTACACACAAATTCAGGCAATACCTATATAGCTTTCAGCTATAATACCCGTAATGTGTTTTCCAGATTTTCATGAAAGCTGTAAAAGCCTTAGATGTTTCGTTCGAAGCAAGTCCTATAGATCCACTACTAGCAATATTCGGTGAGGTGAACGGCAATTACGGCATAGTCCTTCAGGCCTTCGAACCTGAAACAGGATTGAAGAAACAGAGCCGCATGTGCCTGACGCACCAGATCGTGTCCAGGGTAGCGTTCTCGGATTGTGGCCGGTTCCTAGTGGCCGCAGCAATGTCTGCAGGACACATCTTTATTTTTAAGGTAATCAATAACTTAACTGATCTGATGCTTTATGGACATTTACATTTAAATTATATTTTTTTTTATTGCTGCCTCGTTGGCCGAGTGGTCGTAAGTGTGACTGCCGGGCAAGGGGTCTCGGGTTCGATTCCCGGGTCGGACAAATTATTACTGGGTTTTTAACAAATTCTCATTAGTAGCACGGAGTCTGGAATTGTGCCCGGTATATGGCAATAGGCTCACCCCCTATTACATAGAACTCATAACATAGATAGTGAAAAGTGGGTGTTATATTGTACAGTGGCATAATGTACACCTCTGCCTACCCCTTCGGGGATAAAAGGCGTGACGTTATGTTATGTTATGTTATTTTTTTTATTATATAAATTAAATAAAATGTAAATGTCCATAAAGCATCAGTTCTTAACTTGATCTATAGGTAGGTTAAAAGTTAACTTCTATATTCTTTTTAAACCTTGCGGTACTATTCTATTTGCAGGTTAGCACAGACTACAAGCTGAACTTGATGCGGTACACTGAGTTCGGACGAGGGCTGGCAGACTGCTTCCTTATGAAAGTCGGTGCAACCATGAGATGCTTCAGTCTCGTACTATTCTCAGAGAAATATAGAATTGGTACGTATAGAGCACACATCAATAATTCAGAGTGTTAAATACTTTAAACATTCGATCATTCAACATTCCCGTTCTAGGCGAGCGTATAATCTGCGTAAACGCTGAAACAGGCAAAGACAACAAGTTTGCGGGCAAGATGCAAGGACCGTACTCTAAACTGCTGCCACTCAGCGCCAAGGACACCATGATCGCCATCCCGCATCTCAGCAGGCAGATGCATATACTCAAACTAAATGGAGATGTAAGGAACATTACAATAACTATAACTAAATATGTATTTCTACCAAGAAATAACATACAATTTGTCCATTTAGAAAGGGGTAACGGTGTCTGTGAAGATGGGTCCAATCATCGAATCTGGTCATGATATAAAGCAGTTTAGTGGTTTCAGAGGTGCCAACACACTGATGACTTTTGGCTACGATGGCACTCTTATATTGAGATCACCACATACTCCAGAAGAAACCGGTGAGCCCTCTTCATACTTAAGTAGTAGGAGTTTTCTGAGAAATCTGTGCCGAAGTGTCGACATTTTATCTCAATAAAAACTCTCAACAGACGATGGAGTGATGATAGCATTGAACGAAATTAGATGCTATGACATTCATAAACGATCTGTGTATATAGTGAGAATGCGAGAAGTGGATACAAAGTGCGCAAGATAGACGTATATACGTCGACCAAAAATGTGCCACTGAAGGGACTGTCGAACTGTTTCCAGTTTCCACAGAAACTGGAAGATTTTCAAATATATCCCACCGAAATTCTTAAGTACTTTTTATCAAAATCACTACATAGTATTAAACAAAGTCACTATCCACCGTCTGTCTGTACCTATGTGTGCTTAGATCTTTAAAACTACACAACGGATTTTGATGCAGTTTTTTTTAATAGAGTGATTCCTAGGGAATGTTTATGTGTATAATACATGCATGCATATTGTACCCGTGCGAAGCCGGGGCGGGTCGCTAGTATAAAATAACCACGAGTCTATCTTTCGTATAGTTTACAGCTGTATGTATTTGTTTACAGACCTAAAGCTGATAGTAACTCATCGGTATGAATACGGTGTTAAAAGTGCTGTGGTGGATGCGAATGGCGATTTTTTCTTACATTTGGCCGTAGGCGGCACTATGGCCTGCACTTTCCTGCGACGTCGCGACCAGGAGTTGGGCGACATTACACATAACGCTCCCTCTGATGCCACCTGCAAAACCGATGACAAAGCCAACACCATCACTGTTATACACTATAATGATAGTAAGTGATACCTATTGTCATTATAAAGATAAGCCTAACTAAAGTCATAAAATAGATTTCAAGCACTAAGCTCCTATACATTCCACTAGGAATAAAACCTTAATAGATATCTAAATTAAAATTTTGTGGCCATTAAGTTATATCATTAATGATACGAGCGTGTGGCACCGGCTTCTAAAATTCTAGTTACTATAAACCGTTGAAGAGTTCCCTTAACAATGGGGATGATGACAGGGTATGAAAATTAAAAATATAATTAGTCCGTAACTTAGGTAATAAAAAAATATTAGACACGTATTTTTTTATTTTGTTGTATAATAAAACAATACTTAGATAAAACGAATCAAAGTTTAGGAGTGGGGGCTAAAACGTCATTTCTTAGTATAAAATGTACTGAGAAGTGACGTCACGCGACATTTCAAATCAATATATCTTCGAAACTATTCGTTTCCGTAAGAAAATAAAAAATACGTGTCTAATGTTTTTAAATAATCTACCAGACGGACATTAAAAAAAAAATTAGTCGTCTTCCCTATTACCCTTCTTCATCATCAGACCCTTAGTGACAGTCCCACTATATCTAGGTGTAAAGTCCTCATCAATACAAATTTATCAAGCCCAAACACAAGGTAGTTACTGTATACCGTTGAGGAGTTCCCTTAACAATTACACTTCTTCATCATCAGGCCCTTAATGGCAGTTTCACTCCATCTAGGTGTAAAGTTCTCATTAATAAAAATTAATCAAGCCCAAACACAAGGTAGTTAATATAAACCGTTGCGGAGTTCCCTCGACTGTCTGTCTGCTCCATCATCAAGTCGCCAGACCCTAAATAAATTGTAGTGTTTAAACATACTAATTGAAAAATATAATAGACGCATTACTCGCCCTAAAGTTTCCAAAGTTCCCCTTGGTTTCCCTAGGATTCCATTATTAGATCCTGACTTCATGCAGTTGGGACTATCTCGAGAGTATACACTTTCAAACAAAAGAAGAATTTGGAAATCGGTTCACAAATGGCGGAGTAATCGGCGAATAAATAAAAAAAATCAGCCGTACATAGTACCTCCTCTTTATTTTGAAGTCGGTAAAAATAGGCACTCCTTTATGATTTTTATGTTTAGATACTTTACTTTAGTATTATACACTCATATAAAACTATTGTTGCCCAGAAAATTACTTAGACATTCAAGAAGACAAGAAAGTCCGTGAAGAGGCTATGGACTACAAACGCCAACGTGAAGAGGTGGTCAAGGTGTTCGAGTTACTGCAGAGCAAGCTGGTGGATCTCCTGGAAGAAAACATTAATGAGCGACCGTTGCATCAGTTATCGTTATCGGAGTTCAATCTACACCAGGAAGCCAAGAAAGAGAGACTCAAAGCGGTAAGAAACGTAAAAAATTTACATGGAAAAAATATCGACAGATATTTTGCAAACACGCTAAAATAAGTATCAAAATACTTAATGCGATATGTTATACCTTACACTTGCAGGCTGAAAAGGAGCGTGAAGAAATAAGGTTACAGACAGAAGCTCGTATTAGAGCACAGGACAAAGTGACAGCCTGGATCAAACAGACGTGCTGGGACACCATACAATCACCGAGGATCAAGATCTTCGCGATATTCAGTCATTACCACGTAAATACACTACTATGTTTAAATTTACCAAAATAAGGACCTTTACTTATCTCTGCCCAGTGATAAAACTGCGCAATGTGTTATTTTAAAATAAAAAAAATGGTTTATTTGAACGGATCCTTCATATTTAGGTGGAGAATTTTGCAATGATGCCATCACACCGTGAAACATGGGCAGAATTGCAGCAAATTGAAGCGCTTCGCTCAATCGAGATGGAGAATGACTCGGATTTGTTCCGGCCCTGGCTGGAGGAAATTACTGTCGAGCCTCCCACCAGTACAGCAGCAGTAGTACCTGTTGCAACTAGGTCAGTCAGTGCACCAATACACTTTCGCTTATATAGAATTTCCATAAACCCCGTGATGATTTTCAAATAGTTACATCAAAAATGTGCCCAACTACGTTAATCTTACCATAAACTTATTTGTAAAGTAACGAATGAATGAATGTACACACATCTGCATGCACAATGCACAGTTGTCATTGCAGGCCTTATTTTCTTAATTATGACCACTAGTACGCAGTGCTGCCGTGGTTTTGTGTCCGGTGGCCAGTGGAAGGCAACTGTATCTTTGTGGGTACGCGTCAAAGTGAGCTGGAGCTCAGCACGGCTATCACTATAACTTTTTAAAAAAAATAAAACCGACTTCAAATGCGAGAACACAAAAAAAAACTAAAAATTAAAAAATAATTCCTAATACCTATTACCTAATACTATAATTTTTCTAAACTATATCAAAGTAATTAAAGTTAAACAATCTAAATATCTTAAAATAGTTATACTTATATACCTACCTATTGTTTTTTGGAGTCGGTGCCAGTAATAAATGAATATTAAACCTAATGAAATAAGAAAAAGTACTCAATGAAACAAAAAT